GTAGTACACAGTCTGTACTCCTTACTTCTACACTCAATAAACGGAAGATTTGCCCGTTTGATAATCCGGTCTTTTTTAAGATGTCGAGCTTGTATTGAAGCTGAAGGAAAGCAATTTGAACACATTTTGTAAAAAAATCTCAGCGTCCAAATACATACATACATAATACATAAACACTCACGCCTGTCACCCAGAGGGGTAGGCAGAGACTACAGACTTCCATTTGGCACGATCTTGACACACCTCTCTCGCCTCCTTCACATCCATATACCTACGCATACACGCTCGTCGGTTAAGGGTACTCCTAATTTGGCCCGTTTTCAATAAATCACCAATTTGGTCGATAAATTTTCGCCTAGGACGTCCCTTTCCGACTCTGCCATTCACTTCTGCAACATACATTTTTTTGTCATTCTTTCCTCATTCATTCTTTCCACGTGGCCAAACCACCGAAGCATTCCTTTCTTAATCCTGGTCACAACATCATCTTGCAAACCACACTCTTCTCTTATCACACTATTTCTCACCCTGTCATTCAGATTCAGCCCTAACATACTCCTTAACGACCGCATTTCTACTGCGTTCATTTTACTCTCGTGCTTCTTCTGCCACACCCAACTTTCACTACCATACGTTAAAGTAGGGACCAACACAGCATTGTGAATTGCCATACGTGCCTTTTTCGACACATTTTGACTCTTCACAACAGAGTGCAGAGCCCCATTTACTCTATTTCCCGCATTCACTCGTCGTTCTTTATCCTTATCATATCTCCCATCCCTGCTAAATACGCAACCCAAATATACAAACTCATCTACTTACTCGATCAACTCCCCTTCTATTCTTATTTCACAAATCGTTTTACTTTCTTCTCTTTCAAAAACCATAACCTTCATCTTACTTGCGTTCACTTTCATATCCCTTTCTTTAAATGATCTGTTCATTAATGTAACCATCATTTGCAACTCGGACGCCGACGACGCGAGAATAACTTGATCATCGGCGTACAAAAGGCATTTGACGGTTAACTCACCCATTCTTAATCCGCATTCTTCAACTTTCAAATTTTGCAAAAAACTGTCCATAAATAGGTTGAACAGCCACGGGGGGAGCCACACAGCCCTGTCTGACACCTTTATGGATGCCATACCAGTCCGAGTAGACCCCGTTGATCCTAACACAAGCACTAGAGTCCCTATAAAGAGACTCCAATACCTGTATCAAGCCAGCGCTCAACCCAAATGAGTTCAGTGTTTGCCATCTGTCATAGGCCTTTTCCAAGTCCATGAACGCACAAAAAACCTTTTGGTTTTTGGCCAAAAATTTCTCCGTGATCTTGCGCTTGGAAAAGACTTGATCTATACATCCCATTCCCTTTCTAAATTCCGTTTGCACATCCCAAATTTTTCCATCAGATTCTTTCATGACCCTTTCAATCAGTACTTTAGCATACAGTTTTCCCACAATGCTAAGAAGGCTGATGCCACGGTAGTTTTTACAGTCTTGCTGCGACCCTTTTCCTTTATATACTGGGACTATCACGGCTTTACACCAGTCTACCGGTACCCGCTTCAGTTCCCAGCATACATTAAACAAGGTGTGCAGCAGGCCTGCCACCACTTCCTCTCCAGCCCTTAGCATTTCGAGTGAAACTCTATCGTATCCGGCAGCCTTACCTGCTTTCATGCTTTTCATTGCTTTCATTATTTCATCTATACTTATCTCGCTACCTCTTTCCTCTTCTTTCGGAGTTTCTAGTTCATTTAGTTCACACGTTGTCTCCTCACTCATAAACACGCTTTCAAAATATTCCTTCCATCTCTTTAAACTCAAAACTTCATCATTCAGAATATAGCCTTTCTCGTCTCTTATAGCATTCATTATAGGCTGTTTTGAATGTCACCTGGCAGTTCTTACAAGTTTCCAGAACATTTTTATATTTGCCTGGAAGTTAACCGATATTCTTCTATCATTCTTATCCGTTCTTTCTTGCTTTTTCCTTTCAACTACTTCTTTTACTCTCTTATTTAGACGTATAAAGACTGCCTTTTTTTCTTTCAATATCATCATTCGTACCGCTAGAATTACCAGCCTTTGTTGCTAGTAAATCTAGCCATGCTCTCTTCTTTGCATCAACTTCCATACGTATCTCATCATCCCACCATAACGTATTATTTTTCCTTTCATTCTTTCTCTTACTAACACCACATACTTCGTTAGCTGCATCCACTAAACCTTTCTTAACATTTTGCCATACATTCTCCAAGTCTAACTCCTTCATACATAATTCATCCAAACCACTTATATTTTCTTTCAGTCTACATTTGAACTTGTTTTTCTCACCTTCATCTTGTAACCTTTCTGTTCTAATACACTGTAACGCAGTGGTAGACACAGATGACCGATGGCGCCAACGCCTGAATAGACCATTAATTCGGCATAAAACCAAATAATGATCCGTTCCTACGTTAGAACCCCGGTAAACCCTTGTATCTACCACTGCGCCCCTCAATCTTTGACCACCATACTTATGAAATCTATCATGCTTCTATCGCCACCTCTTTCCCAAGTATACATGTGTATCCTCTTGTGGCAAAAGCAAGTGTTCGTCACAAAAAGATTTTTTTTCATACATACGGTGAGGAGACTTTCACCATTCTCATTTATACTTTCATCACCAAACGTTCCCAATATCCTTTCATAACCAAGCCTCCTCACCCCAACCCTTCCATTAATATCTCCTAGCATAATAATATTTTCATTTCCCTTAGATTTCATTAACACCATCCTTACCATTTCCCAAAACTCCTCTCGGATATAAGTGGGCTTAGACATGTCTGGGGCGTAGACCCCTAACACAAACAACTTCTTTAAGCCCACTTTCATTCGTATCCATAGCAGTCTTGGGCTTACACATTCATACTCTTTCACACATTGGCCCATTCTTTCTGAAAGGATGATACCTACTCCCTGGCATGCCCGCTCGATCTCGTCTACACCAGATCAGTATGCGGTATACATGCCATGTGTAGTGACATCCTTCCGACTTCCTTTTCGTCTCATTTACACATAACGCATCTATTCCTCTATCATACATCATATCGCATACTACATCCATTTTATCATTCATTGCTCCACCTACATTCAACGTAGCCAGACGGGCCTCTGCAATCCACTTTTCGCCCCTCCAGGAGACAGAACGTGACCGGGCCGTCGCCGGTTTTCCTCCCGGAGATTCTTCGCATCCCTGCCCCATTCAAGGGGCGCCGGGAACTCGGGGCCATTTCTTTTATTTGGTTCCTCATGGTGCGAAATATGGGGTAGTATATTTTACGCCGCTACCACGGCGAGGAGCCGAATCTGTGCTATCGGCGTGTCGCTCATTTAGCACCACCCGGGGGACACGTGTAGGGTGGGCCTAGGAATAGGTTGTCAAAGCCTACGGACGTGAGCAACTTATCCCCCAAAAGCGCGTCCAAATAATTGTTGTTTAATTTTAAACATAAAGAAAATCTATTCTAAATTTAACAAAAAGTATAACTCGAATGCACTCACACATCGTGGATTGATTCTTCCTCTCACTCAAACTAGAATCTTAGTTACTCTAGTAATGTAGCAAGTGCTATACCATTTTAGAATCTTTATTAAATGCGTCAACTTTTAAGGTTACTTGCTAAACTGGCGTAGTACTTTTTTTTCAGTACAGTCGGTTAAAGTTGGGCGAAGTATTAATTTTTCATTCTTGTTTCGGATAAATGTGACATATTCTTCTAAGTTGGAGCAGTTAGCTAAGAATTAAAAACAACAGGTTACACAAGCACTACCCAAGATTACGCAAAAAAATAAAATCGAAAAAAAATAAAGATTTCTAGCTAAAGGAGCTAAAAAACCATCACAGGTTGTTCAAAAAAAGGAAATTACTGTTATTTAAAAAATACATTTTTTTATAGTTTTCTGGTAACTATTATGATTTGTCCTATCACCAGATTCCGACTTGACGTTGACTTTTGGGATAACCTGTATACGAGAGACGTAAAGCCATGTAACTACATCGTAGTATAGCATGAATGGGTCGGCTCGACCGGGGAAGGACAAACGAACTCACAGAATACCAGCGTAAAACAGCAACTTAATGCTGCTGTGCTTCGTATGGTGAGTGTGTAGAACCAGACACCCTTCCTACCGGAAACGAGGCATCCCATCTTAGTCTCAGGGGTGACAACGCATCCTTAATTGAGGACACTTGTAGATGTCTATGGGCCACAGTACCCACTTACCTTCAGGTGGACAGTGTGCTTATTCTATAGAATAACACCTGCATCGTAGGCTCCTTGCTTTTGGTTGCCTCTGCACTGCACGTCTTATATAATCGGCCACCCCAACAGGTGTAATCTCGTCCAACAGTGTCCACGGGGCAAAACGTGAGAAACCGTCTCGTTCATTAGTCAAATTAATTTAATTGTATTCACTGGTTAATAGAAAAATAAAACACGCAAGTATAACTTTTTAAGGAATATATTCAAATTATATTTAATACTTTAAACATTATTAACTTAGTGTATAGTATAACCCAAAATAAATGGTGCAAATGCCATTTAAATATGTTGGAAATTTTATATGACTACTTACTTATATAAATCTATGTTACTTCGATATATTGATGGAACAGTTTTGTAAAGTACGATAGTAATAGACCGCAATTAAAGTTAATTATTATACTCAATGGCGTCGTTCTTACAAATATGTCAATTAAAAACTGAATCTCTTTTGCAAACTGTAAATTTCTTATTGAGTAATAAGTTTGTACAAATTTAATTAACAGACTAAGTTTCAAATTTGAAGCGGTTAAACCTGCTAAATTAATATTCGGAAATATCAGGAATGTAAAACATGTATCTTTTGTTAAGAAAATTTTGCAGGCTGTTATTAAAAACTGATGATTTATACATCAATGGCAATGGCAGTATATGCACGCTCTAAACAAAGTACAGTAAGTCAGGTCACGCGGCCGGTATGGGTTTGGCGGGCAGCTTGCTCTGTGCCGATTTCTGCATCATGTTGATCTTATCGCCCAGGCTCAAAGCCATACCCTGCAGACAACCAGAAAGTTTAGATAATGATTATGTGATAGAGCTACTCTCGTAACTCGTATAGGATTTTTTTATAGGATAGGCTGACAAACGAGCACACAGTCCACCTAATGGTGAGTGTTTACTGCGGCCCATAGACATCTACATCTGTCTTCGATTATAAATCAACATGCACATGCGTTGTCATCTATGAGGACTGCCTTAGGTAGAATGCCTCGTTTCCAGTAAAAAGGGTCTCCGGTTCTCTACACTCACCATACGAAACACAGCAGCAATAAGCTACTATTTTACGCTGGTATTCTGTGAGAGCGTGGTCCTTCCCCGGTTGAACCGACACATTCACGGTATCACGCTTGACACAAATTTAAATTTCCGCAAGCACATCGATTTACTTTGTGCTAGAGTTCGTAAATTAATATATATTTTTAAATATCTTCGTAACATCGCTGACTTCAAATTGATAAGACAGGTCTATTTAGCTTTGTGTCAATCCATACTCACTTATGGCATTACTTCCTGGGGTGGAGCTTCTAAAACAATATTGCTCCCATTAGAACGTGCTCAGAGAGCAGTTTTAAAGGTAGCCACATTCCGTCCATTCATGTTTCCTACACATCAACTTTACTTGGCATGTAGTGTACTAACTGTCCTTTAGTTGTTTATCCTGAACATCATATTAAAACAGCATATCGAACTTCCATTTAACTTAAAATCCATAGACAGGAGAAGAATGGACTTAGTTTGTGTAAAGCCTCAAACCAAACACGCATTTGTGAACAAATTTTACATATTTTTAGGACCCTTTCTATATAACAAGCTCAACAAGTCACTAAAGGTATATAGTCTAAGTTATAAGAACTGTAATATAAGCATAAGGGAATTTCTAAATAAATTAAATTACGAACACACAGAGAAGTTGTTAGAAATTCTAAAATAGTTTATATTAATTGTGGGAAACAATTAATTGTTATTTTGTTATTTAGTTATTTTATTTATTATATAATATAGTTTAATTATTTAAATATCTAGTGTCCTACATTATTAAACTCATTGTGTAAGTTATGTCTGAAACACAGGTTACTCAACCTAGTTCAGGCAGGTAGCTAATATTATAAATTTGACTTTTTTATTTTTCTTTTGTATATTCTACATTATTAAGCTACACATAGTTTTAATTTTATCATAGTATGTTATTTTTGTTAGACTTATTGTTACTTTATTTAGTTGTAATCATATTTATTCATGTATGTAAACATGTGTAATTGAAAATGAAATAAATGTTTATTATTATTATTATTGTGGGGTATCTATATAGTTTTCTCATCTGGTTGAGTTCTATAAATATATAATTATAAATGAAAATGAAAAGATAAATATACATAAATATCAATAACATAAAATAAATATAAAAATACATAAATAAATAAAAGCCAGATGGAGGCCCTCGGCAGGGGAGACCAAACGGCCGAGGGTTAGGGGGAAAGGGAAAGAAACCGGCGGTCGATGCGGGCGGTATCGAGGAGCACTGGCTTCTGCATTTGAGCCCGGAGCGGTCCGCCACGGAGTCCCAGCCGCCTCAGATGACCCGAGAGGCTGACTGGGATTAGCCCGTTTGCAGAGACGACTACAGGAATAATTTCGGTCGGCAGACCACCCCACATGTCGGTCACCTCGTGCCAGGTCCAGATATTTTGTTTGCTTGTCTGTTTCGGCTTTCACGAGGTTACTCGTCATACGGAATGGTAATGTCGACTAAAAATATCCTTGACTGTGCCCGGTCCATCAGCACAATATCAGGCTTATTCGCAAGAATAGTCCTGTCTGTGATGATGGCCCGGTCCCAATAGAGCCTGGCGCGATCATTTTCGAGCACGGCTTCCGGCAAGTACTTGTAATACGGCAATTTCCGATCCACGAGACCGTATTTCAGAGCGAGCTCCTTGTGAAGAATTCTGGCTACTAGGTTGTGCCTGTGCAAGTACTCAGAGTTAGAAAGCGCCGAACAACCGGAGATGACATGCCTAAGTGACTCACCGGGATGGCGACAAGCTCGACAGATGTCCACGGTGCCATCCTTTAGGATGCATCTCCGATAGTTGTTGGTCTTAATAACCTGATCCTGTATTGCACAGACAAAACCCTCGGTTTCCCCGAAGAGATCACCAAAGCGTAGCCAGTGGAGGGAGGCTACTGTGTCTACGAAAGGCTCATGTAGAGCCTTGTAGAACCTCCCGTGGAGCTCCTTCTCCTTCCATACGGTCTCCCGGTCGGAAATGCTCTGTACTGCCGGGTCTTGCCATTGCTCGTTGGCTAAGGATAGAGGAGTAAGCCCTTTATCACTAGAAATGAAGTCATTATAGATTGATCATCCGATCTCGCCTGGGAGAATCACGGAGGTGCACACTTCGCGATTATGCATGGTGAGCGCGCTCAGAAAACCACGTCCACCATGCTTTCGCGGCAAGTACAGCCTCATTACCGACGATCTCGGATGATGCATCCTATGGGACGTCATGGTAGTGCGGACTTTTCTATCCAGGGCGTTAAGTTCAGTCTGGGTCCACCTGAGTATGCCAAAGGTATACATGAGGACAGGCATGACCCAACCGTTATATGCGTGTGTCTTATTCACACCGGACAAAAGGCTGTTAAGCACTTTGGTCAAGCGTGCATAAAACACGTCGCAAACTGACTGTTTCATACCAGCCTCATCGATACCGATGTTCTGTGACATACCCAGGTATCGGTATGTTTCAGCCTCGGAAAGGGTCCTTAAGTTGACGGGCGTAGATAAGTCTATGCCCTCAGAGTTAGCAACCCTTCCCCTTTCAACATGGAGGACCGCACACTTATCCGTTCCCAGCTCCATTCCAATAGAACTGCTAAATTCACAAGTGATGTTTAGCAATTCCATTAGATGGGAGCGACTGGAGGCGAATAACTTGAGGTCATCCATATAGAAAAGGTGGGTCACTTTTGTACCTCCTTTCCGAAGCTTAAATCCCCTCCCGGAGCCCTCCAGTAAAGTACTGAGAGGGTTGGGGGAGAGGCAAAACCAGATTGGACTCAGACAATCGCCCTGGAAGATACCCCTTCTTATCCTTATGTGGTTCTCCGCAGCCATCATCCGCTCGCCCAGATAGCAAAGGATCGTACTCCACTGCCCCATACACTGCTCGAGGAAGTCTCCAACTGTACAGTCAATTTTGTACAGCTGGAGGACTCTCTTTAGCCATGTATGGGGCACCGAGTCGAATGCCTTTCTGTAGTCTATCCAGGCGGCGGAGAAATTCCGACGGTTGCGTTTCACCACTTTGCCAATGACCGCGTCAATAAGGAGTGGTTCCTTGGTTCCACGACCACCGCCCCGGCATCCATTTTGAGCGCGCGACATCACCTGATTTAGCTCCAGGTGACGAGTGATTCTCGCGCTCAAAATGGATGTCAGTGTCTTATATATGGTGGGTAGACACGTGATGGGGCGGTATTTGCTCGGGTCTGTGGTATCCTGATCTTTAGGAACCAAATGAGTGATCCCAGTAGTGAATAGGCTCGGGAGCGACTTCTGATCGAGAGCCTCTTGAAACTGTCGGGCGAGCACAGCGTGACACACTACGAACCCCTTCAGCCAGTAATGATGCAGCCCGTCGAGCCCCGGACTTTTACAGTTCGGGGCCCTACGGACCGCCTCAGCCACGTCTTCAGGCGTTATGGTGACGGGGTCCATAGGCGTAACACTTGCACTCTGGCTCGCCACAACTTCCATCCAAGGGCCCTCGCTGTGGTTTACGGGCTCTGACCACAGGCCACGCCAAAATGCGACAGTGTCGGCCTGATCCGGTCCTGGGCCCGCTCCACATACCTCTGGTCGCTCCAATGATTTATAGAGCCTCTTTTGATCACTCTGGAAGAGACGATTCTGGTTGAACCGCCTTGACCTCTCGCTAAATCGTCGAATCCGCTTCCCTCAAGCAGCGATTTTTTGCTTCAGGTCATCTATGCGCTCCGTTAGTTTTTGCGTGATATCCGGTTGGAACAAACTGATATTTGTCCCAGCAAACGCCATCCTAACGGTGCGCATAATCCTCGGTCTATTATTACCCGACCTGAAGCTTGTCAGTCTGCTGATAAGGGCTTTTGCCTTTGCGATACGGTCCTCAATTCTTTTTCTCCAGGCTGGGATGGCGCTACTTTTTGAGTAGCACGTCCAGCCACGGGAAGTTTGGCGCCAATAATACGGCATACTGCCAGTGTGGCGCCAAAAATAATAATAATAATTATTATTATTATTATTCGTGCTACAACTATACTACTAATATAACTGCAGCATGGCTCTACCACGTAAAACATAATACCACGTAAAAATACGGATACCGGAAAAAGAAGCATAATGTTGCTTAGTTTCGAATTTATTTTTACAATTGACAACGCAAGTGTCTATGGGCCACAGCATTGACTTATATTTGTTTGAAGTTTTACTGTTTATCAACTGCTGCTTTAATTAGGGTTAGGTGTCATACATAAAAGCCAAAAATATTAACCTCTTTTTGTGCTCCACGGCAATCAAAAGTTATTATGCTCATTATAAGCACGTTCGTGGTTTGGTTATAATTCTACGGAGTTTCTTTTGATTCCTAATAAAAGGTAATCGTTTTTTTTATATTTTCGTAATTATGAAAACAAGTCATAAGATAGCAACCAATTTTCGTGATCAATAGCAAAATCATTTCTCGAAATAATTTCATCCGTGCGTGCGTGCGCACGCGTGTGTGTACGTGTGTACGTGTGTGTGCGCGCGTAGGGACGCACCTGGCTCTTGGCCCGTATCCGCACGTGTCCGACGACGGGCGCGGCGTTGCGGTGCGGTGGTATCTCGACGCTCACGTTGGCGAGTGCGTCCTCCCCGAAGATCGAGCGCGCGTAAAGATTCGCCGCCAAGAATCCACACTGTCCGGATAAGGCCTGATAAACAATATTATAAATATTAGAGATACAATGCGATTTAAATAAGAATAGGAACGTCAATGACCGCGAATGACCGCAATCACTTGAAAAGTACAGCTTGCAAAAAATATAATTTTCCGCTTTTATATTTAGTTAACCCTTTAATCCCCATAAAAATCCCAGACAGTCGCATAAAATAGAAAGGATTGAAAATTTATTTTCGGAGGATAGAAAATTTCATATTGATTCTATAATGCCAAACTTCTTCATAGAAAAGTAGTCTCTAAACATAAGTATTGTTTATTGGGTTAAAGTGCTGTGGGTGGGTGCGGTCACATTTGACCTCTTGAATTTTGACGGAATATCGAACTGTTTTTTCTTCTATTTTCATTGTTGGCAACTTTGCGCAAAAAGTACATTAATTAATTAATACATTAAAATTAAATTGAGTTGTTTTAAAAAACTGCAAAAAGTGTATATCAGTATTTATATTTTGAACTTAATTATCAAATTTAGCTAGTCTTTAAAACAATAACACCGTATATATACAGGTTATCTCAAAAATCGAAGTCAAGCCGGAAATGGGTGATTGTCATGACAGTTATCAGAAAAATAAAATAAAAAATTAAAATTATGAATTTAAAAAAATAATAGGCATATAAAAAATCGAGAAAATCTATGCCCTGTGATATTCTTTTAAATCCCTTTACTACAGATCTTTTTATTTTATTTTATTTTTATTATGTAATTTTGAATAATGCTTCTAAGTTGTTGCCTAAAATTTAAAGCCGACTGCTCCTACTTCAAACTTCACTTTTATCTCCACCAAGTATTCAAACTTAATACTTCACCCATTTTTAACCAACCGTACTCAAAAAATGTACTATGCTAGTTTGCCAAGTAACTTTGAAAGTTGGCGTATTTGATATTAATTCCAAAATGGTATGACACTTACTAGATTATTTTTTGGACAATTTTAATTTTGTATAGCAACCCAGTTTTGAACACTTTTTTCTTACTTACTTAAAATTATTCTAGTGTGACCAAGGTTTTCCTCAAAACCGTAACTTTAAGATTCTAGTTTGATACGAAGAGAATCAATTATTTATGAATTGCGAGCGAGCCAGATAGTGACGCCACTTATTCTAATGTGTCAGAGACGAAGAGAGACGGAGAAAGTAACATTACGAAATGTGAGCAAAACAGATAGTGACGCCATTTTTATTATGCGTGAGACGGATAGTTACCATTCGATTAGTGCAAGCCGGACAATAGTCGCTGTTGTCGACCTTAACTAACGCACACACAATACGAAGCAGTACATTACGTAGTGGTAAATACTAAATCGTCACGAATGAATACGGAAAGATGCATATAATTATATAATTTTCTAATTTGTTGTGTTGTTAATTGTAACATACATGATTGTAAGCTGTTTTTTTTTAAAAGTCCCACTGGGTTACTCTCTGGTTCTTCCCAGGACAGAGGTTTTATTCCGAACCAGTGGTAAATTAAAAAAAAAAGACTTGCAATAAGCATCATTTATAATCTATACTGAATAAAAAGTTTCTGTTTCTGTTTCTATTTCGCACAGTAAACGGCGGATCGTTCTGCGACACCTGTATATACTGTATTTTGTAAACTACCCCATATCTTCCCGTTGGTGTCGTAAGAGGTATCAGAGACAAAATATTGAAATTGACTTCATTATGACGACTACACGCCAACTGTTCAGTGAAGTTTCAGTGATTGCGAGGGTGAAAACTAGCAGCGATCACCAAATGGTGAGAGGCACACTGAACCTAAACGTTAAGTTGGAGAGGTCACGTCTAATGAATTCAACGCTCCGTCCCACTCGTGCTCTAATCTAAAAACCCCAAAAACTTTCAACTTGGGTAACAAAATAGTTTTCAGTGCCTAAAAGATTGCAATGCAGTGGACGATATGAATGACAAGCTCGTGGAAACAATAGATGCGGTTGGAGCTAAGTTCTACAAGACCCGTCACAGAAGAACACAAAGTCTTTCCAATACACTCTTAGTATCATGGCTGTTAGACAGGAAATGAAGCTGCAGTCATCAGCAAATTTGACAGCATAGAGGCCCACGAACAGACAAATCTTCAAATGCATGCAGCGGGCAACTTCAATACAGCTCGTATTGAAAAAGCGATCGAGCGGAACCAAGGCTCCACCAATGTTTTTGTCAGAGTTCTGACTACCAGAATGAACCAACTGTCGAAGCTGAAGACCGAATGTGGCAGCATCGTTTCCGGGACGCTGAGATTTTGAGTGAGATTGAGAGGCAGTATACGAGTCATCGTTAGAGCCACACGCAAATGTGAGTAACGACCTAAGAGCAAGTCTTATTCCACACTATTCCGATGCTAACCCCGACGTCAGTCTAAGCGGGATTAGAATGGCTCTCTAGCACCTTAAAAACGGCAAGGCCCCGGGCATGGATAGAATTACAGTGGATCTTTTGAAACTGGATGGTAAACCGATACTTGAAGTCCTTCAGAAGCTCGTTAGTTCCGTCTGTCCATGGTAGCACTACTCCAGGGGCTTGGAGCAAAAGTGCGGTGATCTTGATGTTCAAGAAAGGCGACAACGCTCTATTGAAGAACTACAGACCGATTTCCTTTATATATTATATTTTAAAGACTTCACCGAAGAAGTCTAATGATTTTGGACGACGTGATTTTATACTTGCTGTGTGTGACGAAGAATACATCCGTTTCTCATCCTAATCAGTGTTTTTGTTTACCCCGCATATCACAACATATCCGATTAAGACATTTGTACACCTGGGATGATGATAAATACTGTAAACTGATTGATAAAAATATCCCTTTGTTATTCAGTATTAGGTCTGCTTCATGAAAATTGAATTATATGAAATACGCAGGGCTATTCGCAATAACCGGCCAAATTTGCAAAGAAGGTTCAGAATAAGTAATATACGAGAATGGTAAAGAAAAAGTATTAAAAAATCTCAAACATTCTGTCCCTTTTATCTTTTAAATTCAAAATGCGTGGTAATGCATTATTTTAAGTGATTCGTAAGGGTCGATCAGTAGGCCAAAACGTTGTTGCCCATGGATCACATTCAATTTGGAATAACTTTTTTTTCTTGTTTGTTTAATTCTCGAGAGCATATAAGTTATTTCGTAATAAAAATAAAAGTAACGATAAAAAAATTAAATCCTTGACAGTTTATATCCGGCTGGAAGGACCAAACAATCTCAAACGTCATAAACTGTCATTGACTATTTAAATGATTTAATATTTAAAAAGTCAACGAGCCTTTAAGTCACATGTCAATCGCTCATCAAATTATAAATTATAAATGGTCAAAGTTGTTATTATTACCTTATCTGGCGTCAAACATTTCATGTTAGTGGATGTCAGAAGGTGATCAAGGTACTCTCTTAAGTCCGTTATGTTGGTGTTCACGGAAACCTGCAACAAATGTTTAATTGATCAAAGACTAACCTTAATCGAATAATGTATGCCTTTTTCTAGACATACAAAAAAGTGAGTTAATTTGCAACTGACTTTAAAAAGGTAATTTCAATTTGGTTTACATTTTTTTAATTTACCCATTAATTTAACTTTTTTATTACGTTTGCAGTTATTGAATAACGTCTATAATGTTACCCACTTATATTTCCGGCCTGTTTACTAAATGGTAGGCTAGATAGCGAAGAGATATTCCCGACCTTATTCTCCCACTCGAACTCCGCCCACATCTGCCTGAAGTCAGCATCGCTGCAGACCGCGGGCTGGATGTAGTCCACGATGTCGATATGGATGTCGTTCAGCACTACCACGCCACGGTCCATAGAAGCACCCGACACCTCGTACACTGCAACGTGAGGAACACGAATAAAACTACGTTGAGAGGAAACAGACTACAAGTAATTTGAAGAATAGGTTTTTAATCGCTTTGCTGCCGCGTCAGTATGCTGTTGCTCTGTGTTCAAATGACCAAAATAGGCTACTGAAAAAGGCATCTGATTGAAAAACATATGCAAAATTGAAGAAATAATCATTGCGTATTTCTCTGTTTTATTCTCCAAAACGGGAGTAATATAATATTTTTAAGCAGACTTGATAAAAGGAGGAGGTTGTCAATTCGTCCGTAGGTATTCTTAAATTATTTAGTATATTACGCGTAATCTTTATCAATGAGGGCCATCATATTTTCATTGAAACATTTTAAATTTGAATTTGTGTGTATGTATGTATGTGGAGGTGTTCCACCGATGGTGATGGTGGTGGCGACTCACCGATGTTGCCGAAGATGATGCCGTTCTCGGTGGAGGCGACCTTGACGTGCGCGCGGATGGTGGCGAAGTCGCGCGGCGCCAGTACCACGCCGGCCGGCCGCTCCACCAGCCGCAGCTCGCCCAGCGTCGCAAGCTCCACCGTGCAGTTCTGCAGCGTATCGTCTGCACACGCACACGCACAGCTTTGCCAACTCACGTTATGTTTCACACCATTTCATAACATTCATTTGACGGCATACGCCCAAATATTTAAATGCAACCCAATTTTATGATGCCGTTAAGTGTCGAGTTATGTCCATCACAATAAGTCAAGGTGACTGTGACACCTGAGACATAACGAGATCTTAAAATTGAATAGCTTTTAAGTATTTGGCCAATAGAATATCACATTAAGCATTTATTAACAAAAACAATTTTAATACACAATGTAACGTTTATCTCTCCAACATAACACGAAACCTTTTTTTATAGAATAAGTGTGAAAACACACAGTCCACCTGATAGTAATTGGATGCCCCGGTCGAGCAATCTTATTCGTCTATACGGGTGTTAGTGAAACGCTCACGAAAACTAAGACAAACTATAGTCCTAACGAGTAACGATACCTTTGATGATGGGGTGGAAAGAAAATCGATCCAGATGAATAAAATCATCGTTTCACAACGTTTTTTTAAGTTTATTCACGATCCATCATGTTACAACTAAATGAAATGATAATTTCATAAAAAAAGTCATGAAAATACTGAAACATAAAACCAGCAGTCAAACTTAAAATAAAACCAGCTGATTATAGGGTCAAAAACGCACGGATGTTGAACTCTTTTTATCTAGCTTGGTACGAAACAAGACATTGGGTATTACTGTACTTACGCTCACTCTACCCTTCTCTTTCACACATGCGCTGCCGACGCCCGGCCGACTTGTGTAGCCACGCAATAACACATGTTCAGCGTTGCAAACATGTGGGGAATTCCCCAAATTACGGGGAATTTAAAGTTGGTTGGAGATTTTTTGGGGATTGGTATTATGTGGGATTTTTAAAAATCGATTGTCTGGGCCAAGCCAGAACATTTTTTGAAAAAATCCAAATATTTATCTTAACATATTTGTTAGATTACTTATGAATATCGAATTACTCCCTTTTTTTAATTATCTTCTTGCACCACATATAATTTTCGTTTATTTTGGCAACTTTGTGTATCATTTAATGTTATTAATTTCTTAATTTTTTTAATTTTAAAGCAGAATAAATGCAGATACTGTGGTCCTTTTTAATAGTAGTAAGGGAAGGAATTAAAAATACACCATGAACTAAAATGCTTGTTACAAAAATATGAAAAGTGTAAAAAAAAATTGGTAAAAAAGAAATAAAATAGTTAAAAAATTAACCTTATAATTTTAGTTCCGAATTGTTTCATTTCTTAAAATAAAATTGAGGGAAATTTGTGGGGAATCTGTTGAAGTTTTGTCCCTAAATTTGGGGAATTTGACAAATTGGTGTTGGTAATGCTGCACATGTTGCACCGAAATTTACCTACTAAAATTTTCAGGTGACGTTTATTAGCGACGACGACGAGAATTAGAGGCGGCAGTTACAATAAAACTTGCAAGTAATTTTAATAGTTATGTTCTATGATTAAAAAGGAAAGTCAATTAAAATAAAGTAAAAGAATTATTTTTTAGTATAATTCTGATGATGAATTATAACTATCGATCATAATTGCAATTGATTTTAACTATTAAATTATTTAGTACCATTTTATTTCTATTTTCTTGCACAAAATGAATGATAACGATAAAATAGTGTTTATAATTGTGTAAGTGAACGAATGAACTCAGCGGTAGGCATTTGTTTTGGCGGGATTGATTATTAATTTTAGTTTTTGAGACAGTTCGTTTTGTTTATTAAATTCTTGTTGTTATTACTTGTCATTACTTGTTGTTATTATTTTTGTTGTTACATTTTGTGTTTCTTGTTTTGTTTTAATAATGGCCTACGTTTAAAGTGCTCGTGAATAAGGCAACATGTTAATGTGCCTTGGAAAAGCTACCGCAGGAATGCTTCGCGTGCTCTACGAATTTACAATTTTATAAAGTATCGCTAAATTGTTAAGGCGTCGGGATGGAACAGGTGTGTCATACCGGACAGTTCACGATGCGTTAAAGCATAACTGAATGTGCCCATACAAAATGCGAGCTTTAGTTCCCGACGATCAAGACCGCCGGCAAGTGTTTTGCCGTTAGCTATTAGACCAGCAACAACGTGTGCTTGGTTTTATTGAGCACGTCATTTGGACGGCCGAGTCGAAATTTACCAGAAACGGTCTGTGGAACCGAAGAAATACACAACGTGTATTCCGAGGTTAACTCGCACGCTGTTCGACAAACCGAGCACCAAACCCGATGGTCGGTTAACGTATGGGCAAGTTTATTTAAGGATTTAGACCGGTACCTGTTTCATACCTAATTTTTTAGTAACTAATTCAAGTACTGAACTGATCTGAATAAGTAAGTACATATCTGAATACATCAGAATAATAAACGTACCTACACGATGGATAAATTTTTCATTAGCGGGGAATCGATTCAGGTATTTGGTTTATTTAACATGTGAATTCGAATTAAAGTGGCTAGGTGGAGACTAGCACAGTGGCAAAATAATAAAGTATATAAGTTATCTATTTAGACAAGTGTTGTAAATTATTAGGTATTGGTGCGATCTCAGGCTGCGAGCCGCGCGGATTCGGCGTTGCGCGTATATTGACCCTTGCCAGCTAGATTTTAGGTATTTAAGTTTGCCTGCTGGTTTTATGTTAAAGTATTTTCATAATGTTTTTATGAAATTATCGTTTCTTTTAGCTGTACTAACATGGTAGAGCGTACATAAAGCTAATTAAATATATGAAAATGTTTTTTTAGCGGGATCGATTTTCTTTCTGTCCCATCATCAAATGTATCGTTAGTACTATCGTCTGTCTCCGTTTTCGGGAGCGTTTCACAAACACCCGGTATAAGCATAACACAGCTCCAGCGTAGCTATACCAGGTAGGAATCACCTCAAAGTGAATTTTAAGCTCATTAATCTCAACTAGCAGAGGGAATGTCTATTAAATATTCCAAATTAAGATCAATTTTGAATCTGAATTATAGAACGCTCTTAAAAAATGGATGTTTGATAACCTTGTTTGCACACCATACATCAAACTCCAGCGTTCTATGCTATTCCACCGAACACTTCTATGAATACTACTAGACATGCTCTGCGGCCGGATACATTGCGCACTACACTCAACCAAATCTAAGAAATACCTTTTGACGTTTCATATTACTCATTTTGCAATAACTTTGTGCAATAATTTTATGCTTGACGTTGTTTCAATGACATGTCGTTATGCACCTTACCGCAGTGTTTAAAGGATTCAAATCATGCTAATGTGAATAATCGATAAAAATATACAAATAATCGAATGTTTATATTTTTTATTTATTTAAATTTATATTTTTAGAGTAGAATAAATAAACCACTAATTAAAAAGTTTAATTTCTTTATAATTTCTGTAAATCTCAATGTGGCGAAGTTGCGAGTAAGTTTAGAAGATGCCGGCTTGTTGTTATTCATCTTCTAAACTAAGTCATTCAGAACCATTTGTAAAGGAATTGGCTTCCGATACAAAAAATTTACACATGCAAATTAAATATTTTAAGATTTTGAGATGGGATCCGCTGGAGGAGGATTTGTAGAAAATACAGCTATTTAACAAGTGATGACTGGGCCAAAGTAGTGGAAAAAGCAAAGAAAATTCTTATGGACGACTATGAAAGAGAGAGACCCACTTCTGCTTAACTAGTTGTAATGAGTGGTTAAATAAATTTAATTTTTATTTTAGTACAATCTTTACTTTATATACCTTTATCTCCATAAATGACCAGTAAGCAATAAATAAGAAGAAAGCGATAGATTTTGTTTTGAGTGATTTTTTTTAATAAGAGTATTTGTCTACATAAAACTGTAAATGTTTTCTAAAGAATGGGATATCGATTTTTCTTAAGAATCGAATATTATAGTTACCGATTTTAAAAATAATGTGACAGCTGTCAAAATGCATATCTTAGATTTAGTTGAATTTTAGGTTACGGTCAATTCTCCGTAACTCCTAACACCAAACTCTAGTGTCCAACTCTATTACACCAAAGACTTTTTATTATATTTATACCACTAAATTACGGTCAATTTTATAAAATATTAAACGGGCACTATGGTACTAATACATTGCGCACTAAGATACGCTTTATTTTCCATAATGCCTTTAGTCGCATATAATCTTTTTACTTCATTAAACATTCAACATACTGCATAGAGTAGAGCGTCTTTTATTTTGATTTCTAACCGAAGATAAAAGTTATTGTATAGGTATGGGCAACAGTATCCACTTACCATCAGGTGGACAGAAAGTGGAGAGGCGTCAGAGGGGAAAAAATAAGAGATGGGCAGTAGAGTCCTCAAAATAACCACTAAAAACAAATAGCGCTTACTAAGGGTGGCAAATATGGCATATATCAAAGGAAGCAGTAAAGGTATCGGTAATGGCTGAACCGCCATCTATCGAAAGCCTTTATACCTTTAATTTTCCCTATAGTCATTCTAGTCAGTCTACTTAACATATAGGCATTTTTAATTCATTTGTTTATTCGATACAGCCGCCTAGTTGTCGAAGTTCGACGGTAATTCGTAAAATATTTAGATTTGTATATTTAGCAAGCTCTATTTGACAATCAATTGTACATTAATATATAAAACATAGATATTTAATAATATACAAATTATAAAACAAACGCTTTTAGCCTTGATATACACTTCTCGCCCTATCAGAAAGGTACACTTGATATCAGACAAATCACACAAGTTATTCTGTCGATGATTCAGTAATTATTTGGTAGCAAAATTTTAAAATTCTGTGCGAATGTTTGACCACGAAATATTTGTTGTTTGGTCTTATTACCATAGAATACTATAATACACAATAGAATGGCTGTCAACCTTATTTTGTACGAGGGTAGGTGTCGCCGGGAGCACACATACAAGCAATTACTTAGCATTATCACTACTAACCCGATTCGCTGTGTTGACAGACGGATTTTAATACATTTTTATTTGTAAAAAGCGTGCAATTTGGCATTTTCTAAATAAATGCATGCGAAATTTGGAAACGATTTTAACGTCAAAACATCTCGTGTTGACATTTCTACGTGTGAAGTGACGTGTTAGTGACACAATAGTGGCTACACGGGCTCCGCCCACTCCCCCGTTCTATTATGTATGTGTAGCAGCTAGGCTAATCAACCCTAAACGGCCATAAATAATATATACCCTGCTGCTACCATAACGCAGAAGGCGAAGAAAACATTTATTTTCTAATTGTCCCCGGCTACTGAGATACTTCGGGCTGCATATCGATCCGAGATAATTTGATGTATATATTTAACGTTCTAATAAAGAAACAAGAAACAGCCGCAAATATCATTCAGCGCCACTTCACACGCCGCTATCGTTATGTATCCGTCGACCATTTTTGAGCCGTTTCTTCAACGCCGCAGCTCGCTTCTTCTTGTTATTCCGGAGCTGTGTCCCACGCCGCCGCCGCTCGCCAACTACGCGCGCGCGCCGGCCTGCACAACTTTTATAGCCCAGTCCAGCAACGTAGCTACGAGAAGGTATACACGAGTCTCACGCCGGCAAATGGAACGCACATAATAGTTGTATTTTGATTAATCTTTATTGGTAATAATGTATGAATTGTAATTGGCTAGGCAAATAAAAATTGTTACTATTGGTAAACTAGCGACGTAGCCGGACATATAAATATAGGCAGGGTTGACGTAAAAATTTATTCCATATTCCATATTCAATACTCGATACACCATTCGTTTGCACATAAAATAGTAGTTTCATTTCTCCGCCACTAGACCACTCGGCGTCTGTGAATAGTGGACCTCATATCACCACTATTAGAGTGGTGACCACCCGACGTGATCTGAACACGCAACCAAACAACCTACGGAAACTTCAAGCTTCATCATCGTCATAGAATACCCCACACATTCGCTCCCGAGCAGATATCGTCTGCAGTCTTCATATCCTGCAAGCCATTTAGCTTCACAAAGTTCATCACAGCACTGGAATAATAATGCTTCCTGTTCCTTCAAGCTACTCTCTACGCTATACGGTGTTCGGCACGGAGCCTTACTGCTCGCCACTGCCTCACGGCACACTCGCAGATTACTTGCCTTCTGCTCGACTCACCGCAGACTACAAGGCAATCTCCTGGCACTTGCACATTCGTCGCCAACGAGGCTGCACTATCGACCTCCGGTCTGAGCAGGGGGGTGATGTGGCGGCGCTGTCGTCGCGCCGCAAGCGAAACACACCGAAGCCTAAATCACGCTATCAACATTCCAAATCATAAACAGTATATATAGAACATCTCCGAACTATCACATGGAGTGTTGGCCGCTCCCCGGGCAGAACACCTTGCCCGGCGGGAGATCTCCCCTTTACCGTTCATGGCCACATATGTAATAATAGTATTCTATGAGTATTACAGCTTGTACTTACTCTGAGACATTGGCAGTATGAACGTAAACAATGTATGTTTTATTTTAATTTAATGTCTTTGTAAAACATGTGACATATAAATTTTAGCTTTTTGCACACCTTTTCCATATAAATTTTAACTATGCTAAATCTTACGCTCCTCCATACACGCAATATGTTTAAAAAGGGGTACAGCTTTCCCTTTACGTGTTTATATTTAATACTAAACCTTGAATAATGTATAGGAATGATAAAAGCAATCTACCAGTAAACCTTAGAGAAGTGATATAAATGCCTAAGTTAATTACAGAAAAATAAATTAAAATAAAAAATATACCACAAAACTAGTACTAAATAATACATAATATATACAACCGTGTGGATAAAGAACGGGATTAAAAATGGCGCCTCATCGAAAGCACTGCCAGCATGCACAGTCCTAATGCGAAAACAGCGTTAAGAACTTTATATCGCTACGTTACAAGTGACCATATTTTGTCAAATAAAACATTATGACAGTCCATTTGGAAATTCTCAACAAAAGGAAAAACCTGTTTAGTTTATTAAAATTAAGTAAATTATGTAAACTGAAATTTTATAATTTCAGTTTACATAATTTACTTAATTTAAAGGACCTAATTCAACGTGAAAATAATATATATTATAAGTAATTTACTAATTGAGACTACATAAAATTCAATACTTTAAAATATATTGAACAGGAATTGTTATATTAAACTGTTAATTGGCCTGAAATTAGAAGCATAAATAACGCTTATCAAAATTTGATTTTTTGTGGTCGTTACTGACGGGTGTGAGTGTAGACAGCGACACTGTGCAAGCGAGAGGTGAATAGAGGCGGCGCCGTTTATAATCCCATTATTTATCAGCGCGAGTAGTACATATAGATATACACAGAGGGTCAAGTGTGAACTGACCGGTCTGGTTGACGACGAGGACGTCGAGCACGATGTCGTACTGGTTGACGGCGACGATGGCCTCCGCGTACACCGGGTCTGAGAAGCCCGTCAGCTGCGTCACGCGCGACAGCTTGCCGCGCTCCCGCCCCGCCGCCCCGCCCGTGCGCCCTGTGGCAGTGGCAACACATTGCAACTTCAAATACCATGTAAAATGTTTGAAAGTACCTCCTGATACGCATTGGCAATGCACATTTTTAATGAATTGCAAGTTGCTTAGCTATGAGGGCTTTCATTTCGTTTGGTTTGAGTTAGTGCTCTCTTAGATATACGCTACGTTTACACATTAAAGTCTCCATTCATTTAGGACCTATATGCAGTTACAATGTAGTCCTTATGAAGAATATCCACTTCCTACAGTACTCGTCCAGTGGGTGTCATATGAGGTGACAGAGAGAAACAATCTAGGAGATTGGCAACAGCGTCTTTTGCCAACTGTGGTAACTAAGGCAAGTATCCCCTTAAAGATGTAACCTAAGAGGAGGCAGTTAGCGGTGACACTGTAAAAAATTAATGTATAAATTCGGTCAAAAAGTATAAAGATTTCTTTCCTCTAGGAAACAGAATTTGCACACTTGAATCGTGTAGTCACAAAATCGTAAGTGGTTTTTTAATCAATCAGTATGTTCAACGTAATTTAGTCATCGATAAACAGATGGTGATCAACGTAATTTAGTTATCGATAAACAGACGGTGCTCAACGTAATTTAGTTATCGATAAACAGATGGTGCTCAACGTAATTTAGTTATCGATAAACAGATGGCGCTGTGTTGCGATTATGTCGCGACAGTTAGCATCATCGATGACAGATGGCGTTGTACAGTACGGCTTAAAGGCCGTAATTTGTTGAATTTGATTGTCTTTCCACGGATCCAGGAATCCGGTGTGATAGGAGAATATACTGTAGATATAATATAGAAGTCTCATTTCACCTCCACAACTTCACCCCTGGGATCCGCCCTCCACCAGGGTGGATCCCAGGTGACCGGGAGCATGTCCATGCTCAAACACAGTGTTACCGTAGTTTGTTTTTACTTAATCCTAGCTGTCCTAAAGCGAAGTGTTGTGGAACTTCTCGGCTTGTTATTGTCTCAGCAACAGCTGAGACGGAATAGCTTGGGAAGTGTCTTTTTTATATAGCATTGGGTGGCAACCGAGCACTCAGTCCACCTGATGGTAAATGGATGCTGTGGCCCATAGACATTCACATTTATTCTCAATTAAGAGTCAAAATGCAAATTCGTTGTCACCCCTAAGGACTAACGTGGAATGCTTCGTATTCAGTAAAAAAGGTCGACGGTTCTCTACAATCACCATACGATACACCCGAGCGAGATGCCCGTCTCTACTTACACTACGCGCTCAGCTGGCTGCGGCTCGCTCTCGCTCTGCAACAGTACCAGCGTGTGGCTGGGTGGCGTTACCTGTCGTGGTGCGCGGCGCCGGCACCAGCGGGCGAAAGCTGCGGGAACGAGATGCCCGTCTCCACTTCCATTACGCGCTCAGCTGGCTGCGGCTCGCTCTCGCTCTGCAACAGTACCAGCGTGTGGCTGGGTGGCGTTACCTGTCGTGGTGCGCGGCGCCGGCACAGGCGGGCGAAAGCTGCGGGAACGAGATGCCCGTCTCCACTTACACTACGCGCTCAGCTGGCTGCGGCTCGCTCTCGCTCTGCAACAGTACCAGCGTGTGGCTGGGTGGCGTTACCGAGCTACTGTCGTGGTGCGCGGCGCCGGCACCAGCGGGCGAAAGCTGCGGGAACGAGATGCCCGTCTCCACTTCCACTACGCGCTCAGCTGGCTGCGGCTCGCTCTCGCTCTGCAACAGTACCAGCGTGTGGCTGGGTGGCGTTACCTTGCACGGCACGGGACAGCGAGAGCTCGAACATGTCGTGGTGCGCGGCGCCGGCACCGGCGGGCGAAAGCTGCGGGAACGAGATGCCCGTCTCCACTTCCACTACACGCTCAGCTGGCTGCGGCTCGCTCTCGCTCTGCAACAGTACGCATCTATATTGTTGTCTTCCTCTCTAGCATTCGCTTTATTTTATTATCAATAATATGGGTAACGTCTTCGTGTAGTTGCGGCGTAAGAGGAAATATTAGCTTATACTACACTGAGAAACTCGTAAAAGGCAACAGAAGAAAATTAATAAGGAGATAAGTGACAGTATATTTTTGATAATAACTTAAAATAATAATAAACTAACATTGTTCACACACCTGGTAGTTTGTTTCTACTTAATATAATATCTCATGGCTGTTAGACGGGAGATGAGGCTGCAATCGTCAACAGATTTGACAGCATACAGGCAACTGAACAGACAGATCTCCAAATGCATGCGGCGAGACTTACGCAACTTTAATACTGCTCGTATTAAAGAAGCGATCGAGCGGAACCAGGGCTTCAAAGTCTTTGCCAAAGATATGTCTGCCAGAAAGAGCCAACTGTCAAAGCTGAAGACTGAGTGTGGCAGCATCGTTTACGGGACACCTGAGATTCTGAGTGAGATTGAGAGGTTCTATGGGCAGCTGTACACATCATCGTTGGAGCCACACGCAAGTGTGAGTAACGATCCAAGAGCAATTCTTATCCGACACTATTCCGATGATATCCCGGACGTCAGTCTGAGCGAGATTAGAATGGCTCTCCAGCACCTTAAAAACGGCAGGGCCCCAGGCGAGGATGAAATTACAGCGGAGCTTCTGAAAGCGGGTGGAACACCGGTACTTGAAGTCCTTCAGAAGCTTTTCAATTCCGTCCTCCATGGAGACCAACGACTCCGGAGGCGTGGAAGCAGAAATGCGGTGATCTTGTTCTTCAAGAAAGGTGACAACGCCCTCTTGAAGAACTACAGACCGATATCCCTTCTGAGCCGCGTCTACGTGCTGTTTTCGAGTCATTACGAATCGTCTCGCACGCAGACTCGACGACTTCCAGCCTCCCGAATAAGCCGGTTTCCGAAAAGGCTTCAGTACCATAGACCACATACATATCCTGCGGCAGATTGTACAGAAGTCCGAAAAGTACAATCTGCCACTTTGCCTGGCGTATGTGGACTATGAGAAATCCTTTGATTCCGTCGAAATTTGGGCGGTGCTACAGTCCCTTCAGCGGTGCCAAGTTGACTATCGGTATATCGAAGTGCTGACGTGTTTGTACAGTAGGGTTACGATGGCTATCCGTGTACAGAACCAGATCTCGAAACCTATCCAACTGCAGATAGGTGTAAGACAGGGTGACGTTATATCCCCGAAAGTCTTCACCGCTGCATTGGAAGACGTTTTCAAGCTACTGGACTGGAAAGGATACGGTATTAACATCAATGGCGAGTACATCACTCACCTTCGATTTGCCGACGATATAGTCCTTATGGCAGAATCGCTGGAGGACCTTAGCACTATGCTCAATGACCTCAATGGTGTTTCCCAACGGATAGGTCTTAAGATGAACATGGAAAAAACAAAGATCATGTCTAATGTCCATGTCACACCTATGCTGGTAGTTGTTGGGAGCACTATGCTCGAAGTTGTTGACGAATACGTTTACCTGGGACAAATAGTCCGACTAGGTAAGTCCAACTTCGACCGAGAGGTCAATCGACGGATTCAACTCGGCTGGGCAGCGTTCGGGAAATTACGACACATCTTCTCGTCAGATATACCTCAATCTCTGAAAACTAAAGTGTACAACCAGTCTGTTGCCAGTGATGACTTACGGATCCGAGACGTGGTCCTTCACTGCTGGCCGTATGAGGACGCTCAAGGTCGCTCAACGAGCTGAGCGCTACGCTCGGAGTTTCTCTGCGTGATAGACTCAGAAATGAGGATATCCGCAGTAAAACCAGAGTGACCGACATAGCCCAACGGATTAGTAAGCTGAGGTGGCAATGGGCATGCCATATAGCTCGAAGGACCGATAACCGATGGGGAAGAAAGGTTCTCGAGTGGCAGCCTCGTACCAGTAGGCGTAGTGTAGGGCGACCCCCCACTAGATGGAGTGACGACCTGGTAAGATATGCAGGAAGTCGATGGATGCAGGTGGCTCAGGACCGTGCTTTGTGGCATTACTTGAGGGAGGCCTATGTTCAGCAGTGGACTTGTGAAGGGCTGTAATGATGATGATGATAATGATAATATAAACTAGTGCTTGACTACAATTTCACGTAATGATAAGTGGAGATGATGATTTAGATAGTAAATCGAAAATAAAGAGTTATGGCGAATATTGTCTTTAAAGAGGTAATCTATGCGATTAACTTGTGTTCAGTCTTTGACATGTTGTACCACTCGTGCAGTTAAGTTGTACGTATGAGGTGTGTGCGAACGTGTACTTGTGCAGAAGTGCGTCTGCGTGCGTAAGTGTAATGTACAAGTATGTGTGTGTGTACGTTTACGTGCGAGTGTAAATTTGCGGGTGTGCGTGGGCGTATGCTTGCAAGATTATACGTGTACATGTATACGTGCGTATGCATTCGAGAGTGTACGTACACATGTGTCGGTGCGCGTGTGCGTGCGAATGTACGTGAGCAGGTGTGCGTGTCCCACCTGTGCGTGCGGCAGCAGCGAGACGTGTGCGCGCTCGGGCAGTGCCAGCAGCGCGGCCAGCGCACGGCGCGACGCGCCCAGCAGCGCAGCGCGGATCACCGCCGGCTGCACTGCGGCCGCACGCAGCAACGTGCTCGCGTGCTCCACGTCGTCCGCCGTCAACCCGCCCGCGCCTGTCATAACCCACCACCAATCAGAATCATCAGCATCATCACCCACACCAACAACAACCCGTAACACATGGAATTCCATCGCTCTATAGAGGACACACCGCTACAATAATCATCCGTGACAGGCGGTTTAACAATTACAGTATTAAACAAGTACTTTGATATAGCTATTTACATGGTAGAGCCATACTGCAATTATATTAGTAATACAGTTGTAGCACGAATAGGTCCGCTCGACCAAGGACCACGGTCTCACAAAATATCAGCGTAAAATAGCAGCAGCGTTATGCTGTGTTTTGCATGGTGAGTGTAGAGAACCGAAGACCCTTTTTACAGGAATGAGGCATTCCATCTTAGTCATCACGGGTGACAACGCATATGCATTTTGATTCGTAATCGAGGATAGATGTAGTTGTCTATGGGCCACAGCAACCACTGTGGACGACTGTGCGCTCATTTGTCACCCCTATGCTATAAAAAAATGCTGCCCGCTACTAATCTAAGTATTTTACGCCTGACGGAAAATATTGGATCTTTTTAGCTAATCCGATAATCGACTCTTTCAACTATCACGATAAAATAAATACATAGCTACTTAACGCCGAACACGCAATCCTTACTATTCTTATATTTTAACACACTGTGGAATAACGGAGCAAGTAAATCACCTTACTTTATTCCACGTGGTTATTAGAGACAATATAAAAATAAAATATTGCATGGTATTGCATACATAGACGTAGTATAATGGTATATGAGACCGTTAATAAGTATCGGTTCTTTGTTCAAGGTAGGTTGCACGTACAAATTGTTGAAAGTATATGTTATAAGTTATGTAGTAATGTTGGTCCTCCGACACCGAACGGGTATAGTGCAAGTCGTTATGAGCGAATTTTATAGGATATGTTGGTCCTTTGAGGCAGACGCGCTGCACGGGAAACAGTGCAATTTATTGTAAATGAATGCTATAAGGTAGCTTGTTGGTCCCTCGAGGACAAACATGAGGTGTAATACAAGTTAAAATAACTGTATGGTGAATTGTACATTTAAATTTTCTAAACCATTTATTTAGGTCAATTTTAATTACGTTATTTACTTTATTTTTGTGCAGTACACGTTTTCATTTCGAACACGACGGACGCGTTTTACATCATTATCAATTCTGTATCATTATTATTGAAATAATACTAGTTTTTACGGATTTTATCGCATATATTTAACTATAAATACCCGACGTTTCGAGTGCTTTACAGCACCCATGGTCACGGGGAGGACTGAGATGTTCAACGTCCAAATGTCATAGTTAACAGCGGTTACCATAGATAAAAATTTAACTTTTGTTCCGATCTACACAGTATGAACTTATGGTATCTTGAAGTCTTGCAGTTATATGCTTGGGTTGGGATTTAATTTTATTTATTATAGGATCCCAAGCAGATGGTAGCACCACAGAACATCTCAATCCTCCCCGTGACCATGGGTGCTGTAAAGCGCTCGAAACGTCGGGTGTTTACAGTTAAATATACGCGATAAAATCCGTAAAAACTAGTATAGTGGCCTTTAAGAAAAAATCTCACTCCTATCTGAAAGGCCAGCAAAGCGCTCGCAATTCTCCTGGTGTTGCAGTTGTTAATGGGCGGCGGTAGTCACTTACCATCAGGTGAGCTACATGCTCATTTGCTCCTTCTTCTATAAAAAAGTAATAAACAAAATAATTTTTTTCTCTTATGTCATCTATCGACTATCATTTAAAGGTGTTTTGTATAGTAACTGAATATTATAAGCGTATGTGTTGGTCTTTCGAGACGGATATGCCGCATGAGGCGCAATGTCGGTAAATGTTGTAAAGAAACGTCGGTTCTCTGAGGTCGACATGCTGCACGAGATTTAATACAGGTAATTGTTGTAAGGAAGCGTGCTTGTCCTTCGAGGCGGACAGAGAGCACGGGGTGCAGTGTGAGTGAATGTAATGTTGGTTCCTTGAGGCAGACAGACGCACGAGGTGCCGTGACAGTGAATGTTATATTGTGGTCCTCCGAGGTGTACAGACACACGAGGTGTAGTGTCAATCGAGGCGAATTAACTTCGGTTAGCAGACAGCTTGGCCAGCGTCGATACGCCGGACGCCGCCGTGAAGTTGTGCCCACCCCACCTGCAGGATACCGACCGGTAAAGCGCGCGTAGGTGCAGCGCGCGAGCGGCGGCAGCGCGAGGCAGGCGTAGCGCCAGCTTGGCCAGCGCCGACACGTCGCACGCCACCGTGAAGCTGTGCCCGCCCCGCTTACAGGATACCGACCAGTAGAGCGCACGTGGTGCGCGTGGTGCAGCAGCAGCGCAGCGGCGCGATGCAGCGCGCGCAAGCAACGCCAGCTTGGCCAGCGCCGACACGCCGCCGTGAATCTGTGGCCGCTCCGCCTGCAGGATACCGACCTGTAGCGCGCGCGTGGTGCGCGTGGTGCAGCAGCAGCGCGGCGGCGCGTTGCAGCGAGCAACGCCAGCTTGGCCAGCGCCGACACGCCGCCGTGAATCTGTGGCCGCTCCGCCTGCAGGATACCAACCTGTAGCGCGCGCGTGGTGCGCGTGGTGCAGCAGCAGCGCGGCGGCGCGTTACAGCGAGCAACGCCAGCTTGGCCAGCGCCGCCACGCCGCCGTGAATCTGTGGCCGCTCCGCCTGCAGGATACCAACCTGTAGCGCGCGCGTGGTGCGCGTGGTGCAGCAGCAGCGCGGCGGCGCGGTGCAGCGCGCGCGCGGCGGCGGCACGCGGCAGGCGCAGCGCCAGCTTGGCCAGCGCCGACACGCCGCACGCCGCCGTGAAGCTGTCACCCGTGCACAGCGCCGCGCGCAGCGCCCCCCCGCTCGCGCTCGCGCCCATCCCACCCGACCTGAACAAGGCGACAGTACTTCACGTCTCTTAGTTCAAAAAGGTGGTAGGGTAGAGCCACACTGTAACTATATTATTGTAGCACGAATGAGTCGACTCAACCGGGGCAAAAGCAGAACCATACTCTCACAGAATACCAGCGCAAAACAGTATTTTAATGCTCCTGTATTATGGTGGCTTCTTCTCACTGCCACGCACAGGCTGAAGGGCTTGGCCGGTGCGGCGTGTGCTATCCGTTTAAAGTCGGTAACTTCAAAGGCAAGCGCGGCGCGACATATACGTACAAGATTGAACTCGTTCAATTCGTTTTAACTCATCCGGCGTTGAGGTACTCTCATGTCTAAATAGATATGTGGTGGTCTAATAAGACGATTGCTGAATTTTTAATTTTATACGAATGCGAACCCTCTCTGTGGAATTCGAAAAGTGCAGAGCATAAAAACAAAAACGACCAGCACGATGCCTGGCTATGAATCTAAAAGAATTAAAAAGGTGTACCACCTTTTTAATTATACCGTTAACAGAAATAAAAAAAGGATTTTTAATGGGAACCTATAGAAAATTAAGGAGCAAAGTTTCCCAATCAGTAAAGTCCGGCAGCGGTGTTGATGAAATTTATAAGCTTGACTGGCCATTTTATAGTGTACACAGATTTAATCGATGGCTCGGAGTTTGCAGGCAAGCACACGCCTCGCCGCGCAAGTGAAAACGAGTGGCGTGAGCTCGCACGTGGAGCGTGCTTGCGCGTACAAATCAACTCGGGCGGAGCGGCGCGTGATAACATACGCAGTGATTAGCCGCCTTTATGGGGGCAGTTTACATATAAATTCCACAAGGACAAACATCTAGAGTTAGAACAATTATTTGTGGACTATACAAATACTTGTTCCGTGCGGGATTCTAATACGCGACTTGCGACATTGCTAAGCCACTGCGCCACGGAGCTGACAATTGTAATGGTTCATTTACAAGCTTATAAAACACTTTTTTTATAGAATAGAACACATAGTCCACCTAATGGTAAGCGGATACAGTAGTTCATAGACATCTTAGCTTTAATATCCAAATTATTTATAAGACAGTTCACGATCGGTCATCGACCACCCCGCTCATACCATCAATAATTACATTATTACCAATTATTTTACTATATTATCCTTGCACAATTACTTCCGCGTTGCTTCACAATTACTACAACAAATTAATAGGAAAAATGGTAAAACATTTTTTACTATTAATTTGTTCGACTTACACCCAACAGACATCTACATTCACTAATTAAGAATCAAAATGCATATGAGATATCACCCATAAGGACTAAAATCGAATGCGTCGTTTCCAGTAGAAAGGGTCTCCGGTTCTTTACACCCAGCATACGAAACACAGCAGTATTAAGTTGCTATTTCACGCTGGTATTCTCTAAGAGCGTGGTTCTTCCCCGACCTAGCCGACCCATTCGTGCTACAATCATGATATAGCTGTAGCGTGGCTATACTACGTGTAAATATGTCAATGAGAGATTCATTACTTACAATTGTAGACAACTTATCGTCCGTGTTATAATAGTTTACATGATAATAGTGACGTATTGAATTATTTGAGTGAACAAGTTAAAACACTTACGACGCAACTACTTATATATAACTAGCAAATCACTCAAAATGTTCACCACATATTACCATAACATTTCTTTACAGTAATTTCGTGTTTTACCAAGTGCAGTGGCAGTTTAAGAGAACCCGTTACACTATTTTATCCGGTGGATGATATAAGAGACTGTAATGTTGTTATAAAATTAATAATCAAAAATTTTTATGTATTTATCACAATTTTACTATCGGTGGCCAGTCGGTACACGCGGCGAGCGGAGTCGCGCGCGCAACTACTGGCAGGGTCGCCATGTAATTTTGTAATAAAATGAGACAACCGTTATGTTTCAAGTCCTGTTTAATACTGTTCAATTTATAATAAATATAACATTAGTGGATACTGTGAGCCCAAACTACAAGACGATAGAGGGAAACTGAAACAAAATATGGACTAGAGGTGGGCGATGCAAACCGTATACTGAAACGAAATCTATATATTGATACAATATCTAAAAACCGCTTACTGGTTCGTTCCAAAACTATGTATTACAAAATATGATATTTGCTTCGCATCGGTCGGTCGCTAGATTCGTTCCATAACTATATATTATACAAAATCTGATATACCGCCGCAATATCCATATCGCTCCGAATCGGTCGGTGGCTAGATTCGCTGTGTGCGACAGTGCGCGAGCATATGGGTATTAGATTAGGCATGTCGGAAAATTAAAATCTTATATTTGTACACTACACTAAATAATAAAAACAAAATTTCACCAAATCTTAATTAACTTCCTTAGTGTTTATTTTTCCAACTTTTTAAATATATCTCTTAAAATATTTTGATAAAATGTAAAATAAATAATATTAAACTGACGCGCTCCGTTTAAATTACTATAAAACAATACGTGAGCCAATATCGTAACAACAAAGTACATAAAATTTTACATCAACGACTAACGAATTAAGTCAAAAGCGTTTTCAACACTTCAAAAGATTTAACGGCAAACGATTTATTTTTATGATAATTTTCAACCACAAGTTCAGTATTAAATATTGCATATAAGTTTAACTTTAAGTATAGCAAATAATTGCTACAATCCTTATTTTTAGACATGTGAAACATAAATTGTAATGAAATAAATCAAAAGAATACATGCTTGTATTGATGTTTTAAAAAAATACTTTCTTTGGGAAACTGTTTTGTAAGCCGCCATCTACTCTATTCTAAAATCATTTTATTGAACGAAAATTGATTGACTCTCAAGGTGGTACGTAAAAATGACGCTAGATGGCATAAATACGGCAAGGTAGGAAGTCCATTTTGAATCACAAACTTATATACGATTTCAACAGCGTTGGGAACATTTACATACAAAATCTGTGAGCATATGTTACACCCTCTAGCGAAATATAGCAATACTACGCTGAAAAATTATTTGGATAACATTTCAGCTATTCCCCATTATGTGACGGTACTAATAATAAGGTAAATACCGTTTTAGGTACGTTGTCAATTACTAACGAATTGGTAAATAAATAGTGACGTTACTGGATAACAGAGGGCACTTATTGCAATAATTTTTCTTTCTTCTAGAACAATCTACTAGAAATAATGTAATTTAAGGATTATTTGGTAAATATACAATATTCTTATGATAATAAACCGAAATAATGTTAGTTTTTTGCTCCATGTCGTGACTTACAATACCTTAATGCCCAGCCAGCGAATTCTTAAAAATATTTTTAAATTTATGAAACGAATGCGTCTTGACCTTTTGACGATGTCATTAAAGCCCGGTTTACATTTTGAGAAGTGACAAGTGCGAGTGACAATGACAAGTGACAAATGACAAGTGCTTAGTGCGTGTGAACAGGCAGTGACAAGTGACAAGTGCGAAATGAAAAGTAACAAGTGAATAGCGGCCTGCTCTATTCTCTGACAAGTATATCTGCCCCGCGCTAACCTTGCTTTCCCCTCAGTCACCCACCCCCGTTCTAGCGGTGACGTCAGAACATACACGCGTTGGTTATAATAGTTATTAAATAAAATATTTTTGTTATAATATATATTGTATACATACTCGTATTTATAATAATTTTGTTTTATTATGAAGTGGTCATATAGCAATAACATTAAATTTGTCAAGGAATTATTGAAACACGAATGTTTATACAATATTAAATCGCTGAATTAAAAAAAAATTATGCGAGACGCTGCTATGCCCTCAATATAATATATATCTCAATCAATGGGAATGGCCGGTTTCGGCGCAAAAGAAGTAAGTATATGCGAAGTTAAGAAGCATTAAGTTTACATATTACCAAGAAAAGAAGAAAATTAAAGACTCTTGTAGGTCAGGGCTGGAGCCATATTATTTTCAGGCTTAAATTTTTTCCTTGTTATAGCTTTAAGACACATTTTTCTCACTTAAGCTATTTTAGGAAATTGGTGTGCACCAATATCTTTGCAATAAGGCACTTCACACATCTTTTTAATCAAAAAAAAGGTAAAATTGTATGATGAGATACCAGTTTTAAACTTTAAAGCTGTGCTAGCGCCTCTTTGACAATTACCAACCCAATTTCACACTCGAAGATTTCACATAATAATGACATCCAATTGCCACATGTGTGAACACCAACTTGCTACTTGTCACTTGTCATTTGTCACTTGTCATTGCCGCTCGCACTTGTCACTTCTCAAAATGTAAACCGGGCTTAAGACTAAATGACAAAAATCAGAGATATATCCTATAGGACAAAAGTTTAAGACGACAATTTTGTTGCTTATGTCCGGCCTATTACTACTACATACTTAAATGTCTTTGAGTTTTGTTATCAGATATTGAAGCTCGAAATCTGATATAGATACGATTCTCAGAAAACGCGATACGACCCAGGCCTAATATGGACAGTAGCTGTACACACTATGGTCGCTCCCTGGTGGTACTTCACTTTGCTCACACACTCGAAGTGTAGGTAATTTAAATAAACCTCAAGAACTCAGAGTAATACAAAGATTATTCAATTAAATCAATGGCCTTATATTTTGGCTTCAAAACTACTTGATACCGCGATTTAAATTTGTACAACGCCATCTGTAGGTCGTCGTCTGAACTAATCTTAACACTTATCTTGACATAAATCAAAAACTGTACAACGTCATCTGTACGTCATCGTCTGAATTAATCTTAACAGTAGCAACTTCCTGATAACAAGTCAAAATTATTAAAAACGCAGTTGCCAACATGATGCAATCTATAAGGGAAGCCTGTGTTCAGCAGTGAACTGTTGATAGACTGTAATGAAAGAATGATGAATGAATTTCGTGTTGTCATTAGGCTAATACTCACGCGGGTAAGTTGAAAGCGGACTGCGAGGCGTAAGTCCCGTCACTTGTGACCAGCTGCCGAGCCGGCACCTCCTGCTTCTGTGCCGCCGGTGCCTCTTCCTCCTGCCAGTGTTATAATGAACTAATTGTTCTAATAAATAATTAATATAATAACGTCAGGCAATAATCATAAAATTCAATTTATTTTGCATGTACATCTCAGCAAATTAACATGAACACGCACTTATACACAGATATTTTTTATAGGAAAAGGGTGACAAGCAAGCACACAGTCCACCTAATGGTAAAAGTGCAACCACCTGGCCCATAGACATAGACATCTATCCTCGTTTGCGAATCAAAATGCAGATGCGTCGCCAGCCTTGACTTGAGGACTAAGATGGAATGCCTCTTTTCCAGTAAAAAGGCTCTCTACACCCGCCATACGAAACACAGTATAACGCTGCTACTATTTGACGCTGGTATTCTGTGAGGGCGTGGTCCTTCCCCGGTCGAGCCGACCCTGACATATCTATATTAATATCGCTGCAGCATGGCTCTACCACGTATGTAACTATGTTATTGTTTGTAAATTATTTACGTATATTTTAAATAATTTACAAACAATAACATAGTTTTAGTTGCATAAGTGTGGATGAATGTTAATTTTCAATAATTATTTATTAAAAAGCAAAGTACGTTTCTAAATCGAATATAGTTTGATCAAATTTACCTTGTTTTCTTCATCGGAATTGGGCGTAGGGATGACGGAGGTCAGCATTTCCAGGGCGGCTTGAGCTCTTTCTTCAGTTTCAGCAAATTCCGCAATCAACCATAGCGCGGAACGCGCGATTTTGCCCACACGAATATTGACCACTGCTTCCAAAAGTTTCTGTAATTCGTAAGGTATGAAAATATAACGATTAGAGCATTATAAGAGGAAAAGCCACGCTGCAACTGTGTTTTAGTGCTAGTTTGGTGAATGAGGTCCCGGGTTCAAATTCCAAGTCGCGCTAAAATAACATTTAATGAGTTTTTCTGTCAAGAAATTCTCAGTCGCAGCCCGGAATCAGGAACGGCGTCTTTAAACCCCGTGCCTCGGAAAACACGGATAACCGTTGATCCTACGACCGACCCTCTCGGGTTGCATTATAGTCTGTGCGCTAAAATAAATGTTTACTATTCTAAGAATAAAATATATACTATTTTATTCTAATGGTTACATGTTTCAATAAAATACGAATATAAATAATAAACACTAGTTAGGTAGCAAAGAATCTCCAAAGTCTGAAATCGAGCAGCGCAGCGTGCACGAAGCGCATCACGTCGTGCGTGTGCGTGTGTGTGTGCGTGTGTGTGTGTGTGTGTGTGTGTGTGTGTGTGTGTGTGTGTGTGTGTGTGTGTGTGTGTGTGTGTTCGTGTTTGCGGCACGTACCCGGTAGAGCGGATCGGCGAGGTCCGGGAAGGCGAGCAGCGCGGCGCGCAGGAAGCGCATCACATCGTGCGCCGCCGCCTCGTTGCCCTCACCCACCAGCTCCAGCAACGCCGGCCACACGCTGCCGGCCACCTCCGGGAACTGCGCACGCCACACATCCACATCACTCCCACTCCCGGGCAACTAAACACTTCTATGTATACTACTAGACGGCTACTACAGTACTAATAAATAGTACACATAGAAGTCTTTAACTGTAAATTATAAAGTGACCTACACAATCCCCATAAGAATCGACACAAACAGACGGACGGCTTCCGATGGACTACGGGTATAATCATCTCATTTAGACTGGACATAAAATAACCAAACTACCAACAAAAGGCAAACGTCAAACTTACAACAACAAACGCCAAATGTGAAAATTAAAGGGAGAGGCTTATGTCCAGCAATGGACCTTTACATGCATAAATAATTGCAGCATCGTTATATTTTACACTACAATATACTGTATATTGTAGTGTAAACATGCAAAAACTGGGAGCCGTGGTAGCTCAGATGGTTAGCGCTCGCTGTAATTTCACAATACGCGAGCAAACCGGATTCGATCCCCGCCGGCACCAATGAAATTGTTAATTGCAATTTTAAGTGCTGATTTACCACGTGCTCAGCGGTGAAGGAAAAGATCGTGAGGAAACCTGCATGTCTGAGAAATAAAAAAGAAATATTTCGAAGACGAACAAAGACGAAGAAGATATTGGAGCAGCGCGGCGGACTATTCCTTGCCCTGGAACCCTCTCAGAAATGAGAGGAGGCCTGTGCCTAGGAGTGGAATGTATATAGGCTGTAACTTTTTAACTTTATGCAAAAACTGTACTCTACTCAAATCAACTTAAATAACTCAAATGTAATCCTTCAGCCAACGTGCAGATCTGTGCAACTAGTACAGTATAGCTGGCGGTACGCGGTTGCGTCCTTGTGCTGCGCACTGTACGGTACGGTGCGGTATACCTGGCGGCGCGGGACGTACCTTGAGCGCGGCGCGGTGCATGGCGCGGACGAGCAGCTGGCGGTACGCGGTTGCGTCCTCATGCTCCGCGTTGTTCGTGCGCGCCGCTTCCTTGCGCAGAACGCCCACCAGCTCCTCCGCGTGCCGCGAACTCACTAGTTCCAACGCTGAACAACAGGAAACATTTAAACCACTTTAGTAAAAATCCTACCATTCGTCATGTCGATCATGTTATATTGAGTGGTGTTGTGATGTTGTAGTGTTGAGTGTATTGAGTCATCACAATATTATGCAATTATCTAAAGTTTTGTAGTGAATATTTAGATAATTCATGTAGAATTTCGTGGCGTTATAATAAACGCGACGTTTTCGTGGTGTCGTGTAGTATTTCGTGAGGTTGTAGTAAGTTGACATATAGTGTAGCGTGGTGGTGTGGTAAATTGTCATATGACACAGTACATCGAAACTATATAGTTTTGCGTGGTTTTGTGGTGAGTCGCGATGTAGTGTAGCGCGGAATAGCAGTGAGTCGCAGTGTATTGTAGCACGACGTAGCAGTGAGTCGCAATGTAGAGGTAGTGTAGCAGTGAGTTGCAATGTTGTGTAGTGTGATGTAGCAGTAAGTCGGGATGTAGTATTGCATGGTGTAGCGTAGCGAGAAGCTCACCCAGCTGCAGCGTGTGGCGCCGCACGTCCAGGTCGGAGGCGGCCAGCACGCGCAGCACATCCATGGCAAGGTCGGACAGCGCTCTCGTGGCCGCCTCACCGCCCTCCGCACGCAGTGCACTCAGCCGCCCCACCACAATCAGCTTCACGTTGTTATCGCTCTCTTTCACGATCAAGTCGATGTAGCAAGCAGCCGCCGCCTACAGCATTTTTGTATAGGTAAATATCTATTCTGGTTAAAAAAGTTTTTCAACAGTCTTCAAAAAAGGAGGAGGGTCTCAATTCAACTGCATTTTTTATGTGTCCTCAGAACTTTTTCTAAGTGAACCGATGTTGATGATTTTTTTATTTGAAAGCTGGTGCTTCTCATGTGGTCCCATATAAATTTGATCAAGATGATACCAGTAGTTTCAGAGTTATTCTTAATAATGCGTATTTAATTGATTTCGACTATATTGATGATGTTCTCATTTTAAATTATTGAAGCTGATTGTACATTTTTTTTTTAATTTAACCACTTTTTTATTAATAAAGTGGCAGACGAACCTACAGTCCACATAATGGTAAGTGACTACTATAGGTCTTATACTCTATATATATATATATATATATATATATATATATATATATATATATATATATAAATATATATACATATTCTTACATCAGAACTGTTGAACTGTTGAAAAACTTAAAGTTTTTCAACAGTCTTCAAAAAAGGAGGAGGGTCTCAATTCAACTGCATTTTTTATGTGTGTTACCTCAGAACTTTTTCTAAGTGAACCGATGTTGATGATTTTTTTATTTGAAAGCTGGTGCTTCTCATGTGGTCCCATATAAATTTGATCAAGATGATACCAGTAGTTTCTGAGTTATTCTTAATAATGCGTATTTAATTGATTTCGACTATATTGATGATGTTCTCATTTTAAATTATTGAAGTTGATTGTACAATTTTTTTTAATTTAACCACTTTTTTATTAATAAAGTGGCAGACGAACCTACAGTCCACATAATGGTAAGTGACTACTATAGGTCTTATACTATATATATATATATATATATATATATATATATATATATATATATATATATATAAATATATATATATATTCTTACATCAAGACTAGACATCTAAACACAACATTGCTATTACATGATATTATTGTTATATCATAAAATAATTTCATTACACACCGCTAGCAGCGCTAATAGCGTATTTTTGACAGAAGTAGAATTTTTTTTATAGATTTTTCACTTTATGCCTAATTTATGTATTATATACATTTTTCGGCGTTGTTTATATAAAAGTCAAGTTCTAGCCAGATACACTTTTAGACAAGAGTCCTACCACCTAGTAAACGTTTTCGTTCCGGTCGGAATTAGTTCCGTTCTTAGAAGGCTATGCTCGGGGTTTCTCTGCATGATAGATTTAAAAATAAAGATATGCGCGATGGAACCAGAGTCACCGACAGCCCAACGGATTAGTAACCGACAACCGATGTAGAAGAAAGGTTGCCTTGTTACGCGAAGTGTTCGGGCGGCCCCCCACTAAATGACCTGGTATGACATGCAGGAAGTCGATGCATGCAGGTGACTCATGACTACGGCATTCCTTGGAGGAGGCCTGTTCATTAGTGGACTTGCGAAGGGCTGTTATGATGACTGAAAGTTTTAATACATGTTTAAGGGTTTAGTTTGTTATGAAATATATCGTAGAATATATAAATAAAAAGATATTTTTTTACTAGAGACTCGGTACATATTTTGCGTTTTTGTTTCAAATAACCTGAATATTATCGAAAGGCAGTTCAGAAAGTAAAAAAGAAAGAAAATGTCTAAACTCTAACAAAATAATAATGAACAAGTCATATTTGACACTTCTATATCTTACCACGTATCAAGCTTACCACTTACCAATACCAGAGTTGCTATGCAAAATATGTAGTATGTTTGCACGTACGCGTGGTTGTCGCTCGTAAATTACATTAAATTTGCGATAACTTCAAATAAAACTAGAAATCTTATTTACTCGTACCAGGCTGCACTAAAAGTATCGGGAATGGAATATTTCCACTGTTCCTGTCATATTAAAATCTTTTTAATTGAAAACTCCTTGGTTTTAAAAATGGAATACCATTTACTTATTTAAAAAAGATTCTCGGTCTTGTCACAAGGTTTTGTCAAACTTGTTTAGTCGTTGAGAAAATGGAATTGACTCGAGAAAATTCAAGAGCGATGATTTATTATGACTTTCGAAGTGGTTTAACACAAAAACAGTGTGTTGACCGGATGATTTCTGCATTTGGTAATGAAGCCCCATTCAAAACCACAATTTATCGCTGGTTTGCTGAATTTCAACGTGGACGTGTCAAGCTCAGTGATGATCCCCGTCAAGGGCGTCCAAAAACTGCAGTCACCCAAGAAAACGTTGATGCTGTGCGTAAGCTGATTGAGGAAGATCGACATGTGACATACCGCGAAATTCAGGCAACTTTAGACATTGGCATGAGTCAAATACAAATACTAATCTTGCATGAACAATTAGGTGTAAAAAAGTTGTTTTCCCGATGGATACCGCATTCGCTCTGTGAAGAGCAAAAAGCTGCTCGCGTTACTTGGTGCGTCAGAACTCTCTAAAGATTCTACGCAGGATCCTTAAATGCTGTATACAACACCGTATCAGGTGACGAATCCTGGATATACGCGTACGAACCCGAAACAAAAAAGCAGTCACGAGTTTGGGTGTTCGAAAATGAGTTAAAGCCAACAAAAATTTTTCGTTCACGTTGCAAAAAAAATGGTGGCCACGTTTGTCTCCAAAACCGGCCATGTTACGACTATTCCTCTTGAGGGACAAAGAACGGTTAATTCAGAATGGTATGCTAGCATTTGTTTGCCACAGGTCATTTCTGAACTCCGTAAAGAGAACTGCAACCGCCGCATCATCCTCCATCACGACAATGCGAGTTCTCACACCGCACACAGAACAAAAGAGTTTTTAGAGCAAGAAAGCACAGAATTATTAGACCATCCGCCGTACAGCCTCGACCTAAGCCCTAATGATTTCTATACTTTCCCTAAAATAAAGAATACATTGCGTGGACAGAGATTTTCATCACCTGAAGAAGCTGTGGACGCCTACAAAATGGCCATTTTGGAGACCCCAACTTCCGAATGGAATGGTTGCTTCAATGATTGGTTCCATCGTATGGAAAAATGTGTCAAATTTCGCGGAGAATACTTCGAAAAGCAATAAATACATTTTTAAATAGTAATGTTGTGGCACTTCCTTGATTCCCGAAATTTTCAGTGCCGCCCTCGTATTTTCAAAAAATGTAGAAACGGTATATTCATATATTTGAGTTATTTATATATTTGAGTTTAAATATAAAATTTGGATATTCTCTAAAAATAACCCTGTTGATTTAATTATTTTCTAATTTAATTAATATTAAATTTAAATAATATTTTAAAAAGAAACATTGATTTCTACATTTCCCCGACAAATTAATTTGCGCCACTACGAAATGGTAGCAAGTGGCGCCGCCCTGGTGACAGAAAAAGATATGGCCTGATTGGATTTTTTATGTATTATGTATTGTTTTTATAATATAATGTATTGGTTTAGTTTTTTGAAGTGAAAACTTCTTTAGCGGCGTTGTACACTTTTTTGTAATGGGTAAAAAATATTAAACTCACGTCAGGACACGTGACCTGATCGAAAATTCGTAAGAAGAAAACTTCTTTAGCGGCGTTGTACACTTTTTTTGTAATGGGTAAAAAATTTTAAACTCGCATCAGGACACGTGACCTGATCGAAAATTGGTAAGACGGATGGAGAGTAGACAGCCGGCGCGGCGTAGGAGAGGAAGTATCCCCCTCTCTTTCTACGGCGCGGCGAAAATGTATAAACTAATCATTTCAAAATATCAAAAATGCACAACGTTAATACTCAAGTTTTCACTTCTGCCGGCACTCCCGGAGTGCAACCCGTCATTTTTTTAATATTAGTAAGTTTATTATAATATTCACCTCCGACTGTCCAATAGTACAATTTGCCCCTAATCTTAATGTTGTCTGGAAGAAATATAAAATTTCTTAGTTTTACTCCCTGTAATGTTTCATCGTGTTTGTGGTGTACAATAAAGTGTATATAACAGTAACAATAACAGTAATTGGTGTACGTGTACCTTGATGGCAGCGGGCGCGTTGGAGAGCGTGACGAGCGTGCCGGCCGCCTCATAGCGCACGGCGGCGCTGCCCGCGTTCAGCAGCCCGTACACCGTGCGGATGAACCGCGGCCGCTCCGCCGGGTTCGCGTGGCACACCTGCCACCACACACAATGCCATACTCTAAGGGGCCATTCATTCATTACGTAAGGATAGTCTTGCCGATTAATGAGCCCTCCCCTACCCCCATGTAAGGGGGTAAAAAAATTCTCGAAACCTCTCGTCTTACGTAAGATTTTATCTTGTTTTCAGGATAAGTGTTGTGAGAAACGAATCAATTACAATAAAACTTATAGTTTGACGTAAATCAAAGATTTTTATTTTTTAACTGTTAATTTAGGTTATACTATTTTATTCCTATCAATAGATTGCCACAATGTTATTATTAGATAACTAGTAGAGATAGTCTTTGTGTACATTATAGAATGAAGAAAACCATTCGCCATCCGAAATGGAACTAAACTTTCCAATAAGTTTAACATTTTATATTAATTTAGATTAAATATAAACAACACCAACAAAACCAACCAACAAAAGAACCGATAACCGATGGGGAAGAAAGGTTCTCGAGTGGCGGCCTCGTACCGGTAGGCGTAGTGTAGGGCGACCCCCCACTAGATGGAGTGACGACCTGGTAAGACATGCAGGAAGTCGATGGATGCAGGTGGCTCAGGACCGTGCTTTGTGGCATTACCTGGTGGAGGCCTATGTTCAGCAGTGGACTTGTGAAGGGCTGTAATGATGATGATGATGATGATGATGCAATTTCGACTTATAAAATATTACGTAAGAATGGGTTTTACCCTCCCCCCTCAACCCCAATATTTTTTAACCCTCTCTACTTCGGGACCCTAACGTAATTAACGACTGGCCCCTAAACATCTAACAGTTGTAAAACGCCTTTGCTGCGATTAGACGAGCTCACTTATGTATTAATAAATATGATAGTGGTTGTCATGAAATTGGGAATAAAATAATTTTGGATATTATACTCCTCGTTATAATTTATTAACATAATGTTAACACATACTTATAACTTAAAAACGTTTATTAAACAATATCATTTTTATTACTACAAGAAAAAATACATTAGTCTCAAGTATTGCACCGCCAAATATTTTCAGTTTTCGATTGTTAAATTTAATTATGTAATGTACTAGCATTCACATGAACAATTTCATCAAAATGATGGAAACATAAGCAAGGCAGTCATTTGAATTCAACTTCATTTAATAACTCATATAACCATAACAGTAATTGAATGGCCCAGGTAAAGAAGTCTCTAAGTTCTTTTTTCTGTTTTGGAATTTTTGTACATTCACTTCTATTTTAATACTTTAAACGATATTGTAAAAAGTTAAAAATAATATCAAATAATAATCTCTAGGGAGTTCTTTAAAAATAACATTTGATGATCTAAAATATTTAATTTTAATGAAAAAAAAGTACTAAAAATATGGTTAGGCTTAGAAAAAAACCTTTTGGGACTTAGGGATTTTAGGAATTACTTATTTTCATTATTACTGACCAGTCTAATATTAGTAAAATAACTCAAAGACATCAAACAAAGCCTTTATTCTTATTGGTAGATGCATTCCTGAGTTGGGTTTGAAAGTTAGTCGCCTGGATTTGAAGATTCTGTCACTGTGGGAGGTCAAAGGGATTTATCTGTAGCAACCCCATGCGATTTTTTGCTGCCGGAGCAGCGTCGGAGTTTTTTTTAATTATTTTTAAAAAAAAATTATAAATCACTAACTAAACGTGAAATAGAACGTAACATTTAACTAAATTCTAACATTTCTGATGTTGCATTTGTCAAAAATGTCATTTTGTTAACAATGACAGATGTACTTCACGTCATTCCGTTGCTTTCCAGTTTACGTGAATGTGCTCCCTAACGTTTTTATTTGCCTCCTCCTGTTTTTCGACGATTTTGCTACCCCCTGGATCCTTTTTTACAAATGGTAGCTGCTATAAATTATGTTTATAAATTAGAGTAATTATAAAAGTTTTTACATTGCTGTTTTATTGAGTGTAAGAGCGAGCGAATTAAGCTCGGGAATTAGGGCACCCCGACTCAGACAGATTAGGTTAGGTAGTGTTTTTTTTTATATAAACCAGTCAGAAGTAGGAGCCAAGCAAAACGGGCTTCCGTCGACGGGGCTTCACTCGACTGCACCACGTTAAGTGGTGTTGGGCTTCCCTCCCCCAACTTCCTACCCCAGGTTCATATTTTCAAAAATATTATGAAAACATAACTACAAAATGAGATTTTAAAAATTTATAAAAAAAACTAAACACGTTCGGCGGGAGGTGAAGCCGGGGCGACTCTACAACTCCCCTCATTTCAGGCGACTTACTTTCCTAAGGAAATAAAATATCAAAAATTTTACTTAGCTCTAAAACACTTTATTAATTCTATACATATAAGCTACTTGGGACTCATCCGCTTGATCTTCAGCCGCACACTATAACATTCAGTTATTTCTACAATATTTGTATAAGAATTTCACAAATTGTGAAAGTAGAAAAAAAATAAAAGGACTAGGAGTTTTTTGGGCATAGATTTGTTAAAATCAAATCACTGGACTAAGAGACTTTGCTGATTTAAAAAAACAGTACATAGGATATGTGGTAGAAATTATACAATAGAGAGAAATGAAACCATAGAAAATGCTTTAACTGACGGTATTACTAGTGTTTGAAGTCCCTAAGTGGATTTAGGGACTTCTTGAACTGGCCCATTTAATTCACCATTAGAGATATTATATTATTCGAAAACAGCACTTAAAATGAGTTAAATGGGTACAGTAAGTATTTTATAAACATGCTCGCGACAACTGCATGTATTGTACAATTGACTTAGTGAAGTGTGCTGGCACGTGGTCGCTCCGCCCACCGCAAGGCCCCCGTCATTGCTCTGCACAAGTACATTCGTTTCCCAACTGTTAGACTATCTTTAAAGTGTGATAATGCACACCGACCCCGTAAACGCTATGTTAACACTTCCGAAACACAATGATCTGTGGTTACTACACTCTTAATATTAGTACACACTTAAATAAAATTTAAAACAAATTGTTTGCTGTCAGACTCCAATTATCATGGAAACCTCCTCGACTAACAGTACATAATATATAGAGTATAGTAAGGTAGAGTAGGTACACATGTAACTCACTATGGAAAACCTGCATAATGCATAATGACACACCAAACATATTTTTTTTTAAATATAGAATAAGGGTGACAAACAAGCACACAGTCCACCTGATGGTAAGTAGATGCAGTGGCCCATAGACATCTACATTTATCCTCGACTAAGAATCAAAATGCAGATGCGTTATCACCCCTAAGGACTAAGATGGAATGCCTCGCTTTCAGCAAAAATGGGTCTCCGGATCTCTATATTCACCATATGAAACACAACAGTATTAAGCTGCTATTTCACGCTGGTATTCTGTGAGAGTGTGGTCCTTCCCTGGTCGAGCCGAACCATTCGTGCTACAACCATAATATAGCTGCAGCGTGGCTCTACCACATAATTAATATGATCTACGAATTTTTTCATTTTCTTGTTTTATTGGATATTGGCATATTTTAGTTTGTAGTATGTCAACATGTTCAGGATTATCCCAACTATTTTAACAGATTTGATAGACCCAAATCCTCTCAAAAAAAAATACTGATTCCTACTAAGGATGATCATTGCTACTGACATTAAAAGAACATCCTAATTTTAATAGAGAAGATGGCTGGGTGCTACCTCTTGCTTGGGATCCTATAATTCATAAAATTAAATGCAAACTCAAGTTCATTCTACATAGTATGTAGATTGGACTATCAGATCAAAAATTAATAATGAAAAGTCAAAGACAGCCTTCATTAACTATGACAAATGATATCAGAATGATAAACACCACAGTACCTGTAAATCATCCAAAACGACAGGTATTAAAAAAGTTAAAATTAAACTAAAAAATCTTCTTTAGTTCATGGGCATAGTATTTGTAACTACTGAGCTTGTACTCAATAAACACTTCCACGCTGACATTGGCGAATAATCGAAAACCGCCAAAAAAAAAAGAAAGAAGAAGAAGAAACTAACCTTATAAATCAGTTCCACAATTACGAGTTGCAGTATGTCACCAAAGCTTTGTACGTTGTCCAACCTAGACGACAGGTATGAGAGTGCTCGCTCCTGGTCAGCATGCAGCAGCATCAGGAATGCATTTCTCTTGCAGGACATGTCCTGCTCAGTCTCAAGGAAGTTTGCTACTAGTTCAGGTGCATCAGGGATGAGGAATTCAAAGTTCCTGTGGACAGTGAACACATTTTTTAAGTCAAATATTTACTCGATATTCATATTCACCTGGATGTCATAAGAGGTGACAAAGGGAAACTGAAATAGGACCTTTCTGATTACAAATCATTAATAATTTAAAAAAAACTGCAGTTGGCATGTTATAAAAGTATTTAGAATAGCCTATTCAAAAATAACATTACCTTTATAAATAGTTGACGAATACTCCACACAGGTGCCGTGGTAGCTCAGATGGTTAGCACTCACTGAAAATTTCACAATATGTGAGCAAATTGGGTTCGATCCCCGCCAGCACCAATGAAATTGTTAATTGCAATTTTAAGTGCTGATTTACCATGTGCTCGGTGTTGTAGGATAACATAGTGAGGAAACCTGCATGTCTTAGAAATAAGAAAAAAAAATATTTCAAAGACATGTGAAGTTCACCAACACGCATTGGGGCAGCGCGGCGGACATTATCCTTGCCCTAAATCCCTCTCAGAAATGAAGGCAGGCCTGTGCCCAGGAGTGGGATGTATATAGGCTGTAACTTTAATCTTTTTAACTTTAACTCCACACAAAGGGATTAGCCCACGCCCAGCAGTGGACTTTACAATATAATGAAGATAAGATAAAAATGGTTGCCTGTAAATTATGGCACTTTTAAAGATAAAATCTCACCTGTAGATGGTAAATATTGCCAGCACTGCATTTCTTCGTACATAAGAGTGGCGGTGTTCCAAGCAGGCCCTAATTGCTGGCATTAGAGGCTCCAAAAGCTCAGGCTCTTTGAGCTTGCACAAAAATCGTAATGTCGAGCCACGAATGAACTCATTGGGATGTTGCAAGTCCTATGGGTAAGAAATTATATAGCTACATTATGCCTTACAATAAACCAAAGCTCTTCCTCGCTTGACAAAGAATTCTTCTGATTGCTGCATTTGTGATGTTATCTTATTAGCAAACAAAGTGACATGGCACAAGCCCATATCTCTCCGGTTAAGCCTTAAATGTCAATATAGGCAGAAGAATTGTCATACTAGAAAGCAGGTTTTGCACTTTATCGTGGCTGTAAGGAGTGCTTGTGTTAGTTATTATTCCTGCCCACAACGTGGAGTTGCGGAAAACAGTCCGTCGTAAACTAAACTAAACTAGTTATTATAGGCTCATAACTTTAATATGTGTGTGTACATTTATGAACATGTTGAATATAATAAATAGGTTAAAGCAGTAATTAGCACATTTTATTGTCATTGTAGAGTCCTTAGATTGCTGCTTGTACTTGGTCCGGGTATTCTGTCTTGGGTAAACAAGATGGTATACCGCAATAGACAGTGATGAAATTTTTCAAGCAATTCCCATAGTTAGGCAATTTAATAATCTCATGGGTCATAAATTTACGCCATCACCACAAGGCTTCTCATTAGCACAACTGCTTTAGATGTTTAAAATTATTATTGTGCCATGCATTATAAAAGGAAAAGTATGTACAAAAAAATGTACACATAATGATTGAAATATTTGGCTAACCATACCTTGAATGACCTACAACCAATGAGTAAGAAAGGTTCTTGAGTAGGAAGCTCATACCATTCATCGAGATATAGAGCAATCTATTAATAGATGGACTAGGAGTGACGACATCCAGGTAGTCCTTGGATTCTTGGATGCTTATTAGATTACTTTTATTAATAGAATTATTATGAGATACACGAGGCGAAAATTGAATCCAAACATACATATGTACATGTGCACACATGGTCATCCTCTTAAAAACCATACTATTCGACTCTAAAGACCTTGAAATGTAGAGATATGTTAAAATTTCCAATTTGCAAAATCAGACCCATTACAATAACTTCCTACTGGGAAGTTAAAAATTAGTACCGCCCAAGTATTGGTATCAAATCCACAATGAAGTTATCCGCAGTAGAGCTACAGTGATTGACATAGCTCAACTGATCAGTAAAAAGGGTCTCCAGTTTTCTACACTCACCACAAAAACAGCAGCTTTGAGCTGCTACTTTACATAGGTATTCTGTGAGAGCATAATATAGCTGCAGCATGGCTCCACCATGTAAAAATCAAGAATTATATTTACTAGAATGATTTATGTTATAGCATATTTATATTATAGTATATAGCCTATGTTCAGCAGTTGGATTTGATGTAAATTGCTGACAGTTCTATTTAATATCTTTAAACAGTCTTAGCAAAGGCCTTCACTAGACCTTTTTACACAACAATATTATTTAACTTTAAAAACAAGTAAAACTAACTTAAAAAAATAGTAAAAAGTAAATATTGTTCACATAATTTAATAGCTTCTGAAGTTTGTGTTAACCCTTAACTTGGCAAACTTTATGATGTCATTATTTTTATATTTCTGTCATATATTTGGATTGATAGGTGTTAAATGGACAACAAAAAAATAAATAAAAAAATCTGCCAAAATTAGTTTTGTTTTTATACCATGTATCTTATAATGCACACTACCAAGTAACCAGAAATTCATCTTTGAAAATCCATGTGCACTATAGGATACATTGCTGGGTAGGTAGTAAATAAAAATATATATATTTTTATAGAATAATTTATGTATATACTGTTCTAAAAATATAATATCTTTATCAACATATTTAAAATCACAGTCTTCAACTTATAGTAGGAACAGAACTTCAACTACTTTATTATAATTATTTTTAGACCACCACAGTCACACACTTATCACATACCTAGAGATAATTAAAAAATAAAAATTATTAAAGCGATTTAATATGACAACAATATTACATAATTCAAATTACAAAAAGACACGTGAAAATAAAAAATGTAAGCGACTACAACTATTTGCTTAGTCTAAAACTTTACTTACTTTTCTTTAATTTGAAGTAATTTGCAAAAAAAGCTCTGCGGCCTCGTTTTTCCAAAATTTTATCAGGAGGAAGCTTTTTGTCTCTTTGCAAACGATTTGATCTCACTGTTCCCAAGGAGAATATCCCGTACTCATTTCTCAGGTGATAAACTAATTCTATAGAGGTAAAAAAAATCATCAAAATAAATCGCTTAACAAGCAGGCTCTTAGATTGTTTTTCTCAAAGCTATGACAACTTGAGCTTCCAATCCCATACTGTTTTCTTCTTCATTGAATTGATGAAATCGAAAAGTGTCTTCTCCCCAATAAAGCAAAAAATCATGCACCATTCCAGATATTCTTGCTCCAACGAATATTTTAAATCCCCATTTTCGAGGCTTATTTTTGATGTACTGTTTGCGGGTACCCGCTCTCGTACCTTTATACGGCACCATCATATCGTCCACACTGAACCGGTCTTCCTCTTCAATATTTATGAAATTTTTGCGAATTTCTTCTAACACAGGTCTTATTTTGTAATAACGATCCCCATCGTCACCTAAAGCCTCCACAAAATGCAAATATCGTCGGATCCGTTGAAATCTTTTCAGTGTCATGATGTCTGCTATTTTTCTGTATCTGAGAGCTTTAGACCAATAATCCGTACAAGCTAGCAAACGTACGAGACACCCACGACCATATTAATAGCAATAAAATCATTTACTTCATCCAAAGTCAAATTCATGGGCGTGCCCTTTATTTGCATAAGATATAAATTACTTTGTCGAACTATCAATTCAAATATATCTCAGAAAAATAGTTTGTCATATTCTAACGACGATTTTGTTTCAGAAGGTTCGGTGAATATTTTATCACTGATTTCAGCAGTGTACTTGTTGAATCTTGCAATTATTCACTTAACTTCAAGATTTTTTTAACTACAGTGTTTTTGACTAGGTAATCTCTTTTTTCAGGATCGAGTAGCATTTGATAGTAATGGAAAGAATAATATATGTGTAGAGCTATTAGCTATTGAAGAGATCGGTGGGAATGTAAAAATGAAAATGTCGCTGGGAATATTACATTGTTTGGAGAAGCAACAACACTGGACGTAAACAAATTACTCAACAAACTCGTCTCAACAAACCGTCGCATTTTCGGCCGATACTATCTCCCAGTAGTCTTCTTTACTTTGTAAGTTTCGTACAGGCCTAAAAAGTTAACAAACCATTATATACACTAGACACCATAAATACGATTTCAATAACGTTTCGTACTTGGTAATTTATCCGAAAATGCTCACAGTAAAATGTACTCTCTAGTGCTGTAAGTTTGGCAATGTGTCCTATAGTGCACACTTCAAAAGTCAGGTCATAGTACAGGATCTTGGCGATGTGCATTTGTAGATACATGAACATTGACAGTAATATTTTAGATAGAAAATATTACTTTTCGATCAAAATGTTTTGCATTATCAATACAATATACATTCAATTACATAATTATCACATATATCTGTCGTAACAACAGTATTTTGATAGGATTTTAATCGATTCTTACCATATAACTCGAAGACGCATGCGCATGCTTCACCATTTTGCGATCTACTTAATTCAAAATTGCCAGACGTAATAAATAATATTCTTACTGCCGAATAGAAGGATTTCATAAACTAAATAAAATATAATTTTAACCTAATTCTGCTAAAATATTTCAAAATTATTTTTTTTTAGAATATGTGCATTGTTAGATACGTAATCAAGTTAAGGGTTAAGTGAAGGGTATTTTAGAGTTAAGTTTCCAATTTTAGAAGCTATAATAAATATAATGTTAATAATTATTCTTCAAATTTACCTTTAAGATTTAATCTATTTAATATTTTTTTTAAATATCTTTACAATTGGAGAAGATATTGAGTAACATTCATACAAAAAAACACAGTCTCAAGTAATACTCTTCTTACCTTTCTATAGGCATCACAGACAAGAATCATTTCCTGCAAAAGTTTGCCATCAGGTGAAGTCTTAGGGACAATCTCCCAAAAAATAAGCAAAAGCTTCTTGATAGTGTGGTCTTGCAAGGGCAATACAAATCTGATAATTATCATAAGAAGTCCTGGAATCTTCTCACCAGCAAGAATTATACCGATTGTCTTTTTTAATGCTTCAATCTTCTTTTTTGTGTCACCTTTTTCTGTTACGAAGATAAAACAAATTCTTTAGTAAGCCTTTTACTAATCAAAATTATTGTCATTATCAACAGTCTTCAAGTCTCCTATTGGACATAGACTGTTAGATATAACCAAGTAGTGGCAGTATAAAAATATCCACTATCATATCTTCCTATGGGTGTCGTAAAGAGCAACAGAGGGTAACAAACAACAAAAAGGGCAACAGCATCTTCATGATAAAAACTATATTTGCCAACCTGCATGCCAAGTGTGGCAAATAACCATACTATTAGACAATCTAGGCTTTTGATAGTTTAGAATAGTAGTTTTGTAGCTAGTACATTTTAATCTTTTCAGTGATAACACTAGGCTTACCATTAAATTACTCTTTTATTTAGAATCTTATTGAATATAATTAAATGCACCAAAACAAACAAAAATATTAACAGATTTTTAGTTACTCATAATGACTACTTACCGAGATCAAGCTTAAGTTGCATGTCATTATGAGGTTCTGTATCAGTTGGGAAGTTAATAAGTGTATAGCATGGTTGCTCCACTGCTGCCATCTTGCTGAAAACTACAATAATAATAATATAAATTATTACTGTGAATTAAATTTATTTTTTATTAAGCCCTATTATGATAATAACAATGTTCTTATTACATACAGTTTGTTTACAGTTACATCACTATACATTTTTAAAACCATTGCGTTTTTCTTATAGGAACCTGTGGTGGGGTCCTCTTTCTGTGGCAGTGTTTTTTTGATTTAGCAAAAAAATAGCAAGTTATAAAAGCCAAATCAAACATTACTATTGAGTAGAAGGACCAAATACTTGAGGTTTTGTTGTATGGTATGAACAATAACCTCTAGTAATTGAACCAAATGCACCGTTAAGTAAACATTGTAACAACATAGGTACTTACACCCGTTATAAATTGTTTTCAATTCTTTAAATCTGATAATCTTTTGGCTGTGCTTTAGTTTACGGTCGCACGATTTTCGTGATAATTTTAATTTTAATAGGTAGGTGACAGGTCATTGAAGTAAATGCTAGAAGGATTTTCTGCGGAAACTTATAGTTTTCGAGAAATTAATTTTTTACATTTTATAGGTTAACTACTAGGAATAGTTAACTTTTATGCGTGTACTTTATAACATGTCGTAGGATAATATGATGAACAGATATCTAGGGTAATCGCGAAAACACGGCTAGTTAGATAATTGTTCTAATCATTTCGACAGATTCTAAAACCGAATTAGCACACCCCGACTCCACGTAGTCTTGTCTGCCCTACCCCTAGAGTGTTTTTGTAAAGCCGTAGGCGCGGAGGGAGCAGCCCCCGCCCCGCTGTGGAAAATCGCAGTCACCCTGGGTGACTGCGATTTGCTACGCAAGGGCGAAGGGGCTGCACTTCCCGCAGCGCCGAAGATGTTACAGAAGTAACTTTCCTTTTCATTTTTTATTCTATTATCACAGAATTGTTAGGCAAACAGGAAGTATTTTATAAAAATTAGTGTACAAAATAACATATTATTAATACAAGCAACACACACACTAATAACATATGATCTATCGCGTTTTTGCTCAATTAGCGCTTCCTCCTATTATATTCCTATTAATTCATAGTGAATAAAGTTCTTAGAAACATTTAGATATCAGTAATATACATATAACTACATAACAAATATATCAAATAATTATAGTCCTTACGAGTATATAAATAGATTACTGAAATTTCTTATATAGTAGTAAATGATACTTAGTATGCATAATGATATCAGTCGTTGTAATGGAACTACGTTATTACAGATACAAAGTCAATGAACGCGTTCGCGTATTGGCTCTTTTGTTTTATTTGTGCCTACATAGTTCTCTATATAATATATATATATGCCAGAACAAAACTGGTGACACGTCAGGTTTGGTAAGAATTGAGTCCGTTGAACGTAGATCAGCCCCAGAATCGAACCCCTGTAAGTAAGAAGGTCGAATGTAAAGCGTCAGACGGGGTAGAGAGAAGATTAGAGCCTCCTCCCCACTTGATTTAAACAAATACCATATTAAATTAATCAATATCAATATTTTATAGGTTAGAATAGATTTTTTGATATATTTCAGAAACTATACGTTTCCGCATCCCCCCCCCTTTTTAGGGGGGGGTCACCACTACCCCCCCCACCAACCAACCACCTCCCCACCCCCCTCCGCGTGCGACCGTAAACTAAAGCACGACCAATCTTTTTATTCTACTAAATTGCATATTGTCTTTAAACTTAGCTTAAAAAATTTCATTAGCCGTTTCAGAAAGTCGTCGAAGGAATGTTTTTACCTCAATACTCTTTGTCCTGCACAAATGCTGTTTCCTGCCTTCGATCGATTTAAGTGTATAATATATATTAATAAGAAATTACAGCGGCTTTCAATTACATACAATCAAACAATTATTTTTGATACGTGTACACATCTCCACACAATTTGACTCATATGACGGCTGTCACCAGCTGTCAGCTGTCACTGACGTAACAGATGACAGTATTTGACACCATTTTCTACAGCGATCGTTCTCCTGTTCTCTAACCTCCACGGTATTGACTTTCGAAAACTTACAAATCGCTAGTTACATACATTCATACATATGTATATACCATAATTGGTATATACCATAATATATATACAAAAACAAATAGTTGTTTGAACCATAATGATTTCTTAAATTTACGCGAACACTACACATTGAATAAAACTAAATTTACGGATTCTATCTCGTTTATTTAACTGATTTTACTTATTTTTAATTCCCGACAATTCGGGTGCTTTACAGCAACCATGGTCACGGGGGGGGGGGGGACTGAGATGTTTGACGTCCCAATGTCATTGTTAGCCCGGTATGTAGGTATTAGCGACAATAAAGGTATTAGCGAAGGGAATGAACTTCGCATTATCACCGCGAAAAATCCCGTACGAAGAAATTAACTGCAGTGATGAGGACTGTCTGTTTAAGAATAATATCGGTAAGGAAGATTTGGAGGCTATACGTCGATATTTCGTCCTTGTTACGTCGTAGTGCAGTGCCGAAACCAAACCTTCCTAGAGACGAATTTACAGCGTTGATTAACTTACGGAACAGACCAGAGCTAACGATTCTCCGCGCGGATAAAGGAAACGCTACGGTAATAATGGACACGTCAGAGTATAGTCTTAAAATACTACAGCTTTTATCTTTTTTTTTTATAGAAGAAGGGGCAAACGAGCATGCGGCTCACCTGATGTTAAGTGACTACCGCCGCCCATGATCAACCGCAACACCAAGAGAATTGCGGGTGCGTTGCCGGCCCTTTAGAAAGGAGTAAGCTCTTTTCTTGAAGGTCCCCAGGTCGTATCGGTCCGGAAAAATCGCCGGTGGTAAACTATTCCACAGAGAGGTTGTACGTGGAAGAAAATTCCTTGTGAAACGTACAGTGGTGGACCGCCAAGCATCCAGATGGTGTGGATGGTATCGGGACGTTTGACGTGTAGTGCGTTCACGAAATTTGGCGGCTGGGATTAATCCGAACAATTCCTCAGAGCACTCCCCGTGATAGATGCGATAAAATACGCAAAGAGATGCAACATCTCTTCGCAGCGCCAGTGAATCGAGCCGGTCGGAAAGCACTCGGTCGTCGACGATTCGAGCCGCTCTGCGCTGGATGCGGTCAAGTGGAAGAAGCTGGTACTGGGGAGCCCCAGCCCAGAGATGGGAACAGTATTCCATGTGCGGCCGAACCTGCGCCTTATAAAGTTGCAGGCGGTGTGCCGGCATGAAATACTGTCCCGCTCTGCTGAGCACGCCAAGCTTTTTAGAGGCCAATTTGGCCTTCCCTTCCAAGTGACCACGAAACTGCACGTCACTCGATATGTCGACGCCGAGGATTCCGATACTAGCTGAGGCAACAAGGGGAGTGCCTTGAAACTGAGGGGATACGACAAAGGGGTTCTTTTTAGCGGTTAACGCGCAAACTTGTGTCTTCTGGGGGTTAAACTGGACTAGATTTAGTCGCCCCCAATCCGAGACTCTGTCCAGCAGAGACTCGACTTCAGACACAAGTTTGTCCCGGCACTCGGAGACGTTTTCCCGAGAAATATTGGCTCGGCCGGTGTAAAGAGCATCACCAGTGCTGTCATCTGCATAGCAATGAATGCTACGGGTATGCAACATGTCATTGATATGCAGAAGAAACAGCGTTGGCGATAGCACGCAGCCCTGTGGAACACCAGCATTAATAGGCTTGCAATCGGAGCTTGCACCGTCTACAACGACCTTGATGCTCCGATCTGCAAGAAAGCTGGTGATCCAATCGCACAATTTCTCGGGAAGCCCATAGGAAGGGAGCTTCGAAAGAAGCGCTTTGTGCCAAACCCGATCGAAGGCCTTCGCAATGTCCAAACTAACGGCCAATGCCTCCCCCTTGAACTCTACTGCCTCCGCCCATCTGTGAGTTAGGTAGACCAGAAGATCACCAGCTGACCGACCACGGCGAAAACCGTATTGGCGGTCACTAATCAGCTGGTGATCTTCAAGGTACCTCATGAGCTGGCAGTTTACAATGGACTCCATTGTTTTGGAGAACAAGGAGGTGATGGCGATTGGCCGGTAGTTGGACGGATCAGAGCGGTCGCCTTTTTTAGGGATCGGGTGGACGTAAGCGGACGAAAGTACATATAAAAAGGGCAAAACAGACCCCACAACTAACACGCTTAAAGCAACTAGCGATTTAATAAAGAAATACTCCTAAAAAATAAATCTCGACGTGAATTCGCTAATACCATCATGTACCAAACAACCAAGGTTGTATGGGTTACTGAAGATACACAAACCAAACGCTCCACGACGTCCTATAGTGAGCCAGATCGATTCACCAACTTATAAGCTGGCACAACACTTGGCAAAAATACTGTCACCACTGAGAGGACATACCAGAGCACACACAAAGGATTCATACCATTTTGTTAGTGAGATAAAAGACCTACATCTCACTGACAATGAAACTATGGTCAGTTTTGATGTTGTCACTATTCACATGCCTACCTATTGAAGACTGCATCTCAATTGTAACTAGGAAGCTAGAAGATAACAACATGCCTGCTGAATATGCAGTATTACTCAAACATTGCCTCACATCTGGCTATCTATTGTGGAAGGATGAGTTCTACAAGCAAGAAGATGGTGTGGCGATGGGCTCACCTGTATCTCCCATAGTCGCTGACATATTTATGGAGGACTTCGAGGAGAAAGCCCTTCTTACTGTTCCTGTAAATCCAAGATTCTACAAGCGGTACGTAGACGACACCTTCACAATTTTACCATCTGACAAAGTAACTGCATTTTTAAACCACCTTAACTCTATAAACTCTAAAATACAATTCACAATGGAGTTAGAGGCAAATAATTCTTTAGCTTTCCTAGATGTTTTAGTCATTAGAAATCCTGATAACACTATTGGTCACGCTGTGTA